GAATCAAAGTGTGAAATATGATATATCAAGAACTATGTAATGTTTTGAACAACCAACAATAAAAAAAATTTAAAAAAAAAGAAATTTTAAAATTTGAAACAGTCTCACTAAGCTGCTTAGGGCCTCACCAACTTAGAGACTGGCTCAAACTTGGTGATCCTCCTGCCTCAGTCTCCAGGATTGCTGGGACTGCAGGTATGCATCACCACACCCGGCTTCTTTACAAATTTCTGAATTTCAAGTATTCTGTTATTACTGCACAAATAGACTAAGACAATGTCTGAAAACTATTGGTTCATACAGTGTCTGAAATGTTGTTTTTGGTGGAAGGGTAAATCCAGTTCATGTTACTCCATCTTGCCTAGAAGCCTTCCTAATAATTTTTGGTTGGCTGTCAATCATTGTAGCTGTTTACCTTGTTGAGAGCTGGATATTTTTGTATCCTTGAGTTTTGTTCTAGTATTGTTTGCTCCTCCAAAAAATGTTTGAAAAGCTCTTTAGTTATAATACTTTGCCTTACTTCAGTGCTTGGCAAATGTTTTAGAACCATATGCTTCAGTTGAGTCCCCTAGCTTTAGTTAGTCTTTATGACCTTAGCATTATACATCTTTGAGAAATTTTACTCTTTTTATAAGCTTTATGGTGTCTCTTACACTTCCCATTTAGTAAGTGTCCTCTGGGGAAAAACCAGCTGCACATCTGAAGTCCCCCAACTCGCCCCTCTATTAGCTCATAATACTGCTAGGAGCTTTATTGTTTACCTCATCAGATACCCTCTGGCTAGGCAAAGGTCAATCCACAGCCCAGGCACATAATCAGCAAATGGCCCCAAAGGATAAAATGACTATTGATCTCAGTTCACTTTGGACAGTGCTACCTTTTCTCCTGAGCTTTTAGTTCATCTAGTTTTAGTTGCTACCACAGTTCTCTGCTGCAACTAAAATTAGGAAGCTATGCCTCAGAATTCTCTGAGTTCAGACTAGCTCTTGATCTGGTGGATCTCTGGATTGTCAACTCCTTTTACTTCATCTACAGATATTCTAACTGTAAATCACCCTCCCAGACAATCTAGAGAATGCAGCTCTGCTAACTGAAGGAGAAAAACACTACCTTCAAGTTATCACAAACATTTCCAAACATTGTGTATTTAAAATGTCCTCAGCCTGTCCCAATTCCCTTTCTCTTATTTTCTGAGGCCTTGTTAAGAACAACACCCATGCCACTACTCAGTTCTAATCCCCAACTTGTAATTGTGAACAGAACTAGAACTTTTCAATTGATAACAAAAATCCCTGAAAACAAGAAGATAGAAATGTAGGGTCACAGTTTTGAGTTATCAATATCTGGAAATCAGAATTCCCCCGCCACCCCCATAAGATCCAGGTACACAGGTCTGAAGTAATCTTCACTCTTTCAGGTATGCTTACTTACCTGATCTTCTCATAAACTGTCACTATTAAGGACTTTGGAAGCAGCAGTGAAGGGCAATTAGGTCAAGAATATTTAAGAAGTATGTGAAATCTACTTGGGGTTTTAAAATATATAGCATATGTACCTCAGGCTTCTGACAAAGGAAAACTCAAGACAGGAGCTTCCTTCAGAATGCAACTGAATGCACAAAAAATGCTAACTGGACAGAAAACACGGAGCAGTTCATCTTCAGTGAATTTATCATATTATTCACTCATACCCTGAATAAGACCATCTTATGTGCATATGTGCTGCTGGACGAAGTTACCACAAAGGCCAGAGGGAAAGGGAAAGAGAGATTCAGGATGTCCATGAACCACTTGTCATCGGTCCTTGTCACTGCAGGAGCAGCAGGGCAGGTTTAGAAGGGATATAACAAAAGACCCCAAGCCAAGTAGACCAGAAAAAAGATGCCTTAGAAAGCACATGCCAATGCAAGTTTGGCCTTGATGGAATCATGCCGTCATTTTGTTTCAGTGACTAAGCCATGTTTAGGCATGCTTCCAGAGGTGGTGTCCACATGTCATCTACCACTAACTCTAGTTTACAGGCATTGTCTGGGCCTACTAGAGTTTTGTGGCTAACTATTTTGCTCCATTCCTATTATCACAGTTTTCTTACATGTCCTGTGTCATACCTCTACTCCTTCATTAACTTCCTTGTTCTCAAACTGTGGTCACCCCCACATTGTCATCCTCTTCTCTCCCTTAAGAAAGTTCAACTCAGTTGAATCTTTAAAGGACTAAATAAAGGGGAGCATGGTTGTTTTAGGAGAAGTACAGAAGCCAGCTGTGTTAGAACCCTGTGAAATAAAGGGACAAAACCCAAGAATGATCGTATTACACTCATATCCCCGAATAAGACCATCTTATCTTAAGGACATCTGATCTGCTGTCAGAATGAAGTATATAATCTATTTTCATACAATAAAGTATATAATTTGACAGAGAAAGCCAGCTAGGGGAGTCCAGGATAATGTTCCTCAAACCCTAAATTTTTATTAGAATCATGTGGGGGAGCTTAAAAAATACTTGTCTGGATCACACACCAGAGATTTCCATTTAATTGGGATGGAGGTAGTAGACTGGGGATTAATGTTTACAGAATCTTCAGCAGTGATATGAATGTACACCTGGGAATGACAATCATTGGTTTAAGATCTCAGATAATTTCACAGCATAATAGCTAAATGTGCAGTCAGTTCAGAGAAAATGCTGAAAATCAAATCAGTGACTTAGTCTGCATTCCCACAATTAATGATGGCATTGCCCAGCACAAAAAGAGGAGAAAATGTGGCAGATGGAAGGATATCACTAATGTCCCTGCAGCCATGAATTCTTCCCTTTATCCAAATGTGCCTGCCTAGCAATTTACATTCTTCAGATTCTGAGATTATCAAGGCAGACAGATCTTGACAATATAGTCAGCAATCAGTAAATAACTTCAATATTATTGCTGTGTAATACTTTTATTAAACAGTTTTATGGGGAAAAACCCATATTTCTGTATGAGTTACATATAATTTTCAGGCAATTCAGGGTCCAGTGACAATTACATTTGGAGAAAAGGTTTAAAATCCATACTTGTTTGTATTCCACTCCTTTGTGAAATATTGAAAAGCAGCCTCTGTATCTCAGCATTAAAGGTTACTAAAAGCACCACTTAATGGAGGATCTCACATATTTTATTCCCTTCAAATTACAGTCTTTATCCCTCCTTTATGACAGACACAGAGCTACACTCCTTCCAGATGCTTTAGTGTAATACCAGTCAAAATTCTCTAATTCACCAAAATTCAAACAAGACTCTCATATAGGGGACCCAGTGCAGAGATTAGGACTAATCAATAACAATAAGCTTTGGTTGTCCTAAAACCGCAAGCTGGGTAAGGTGCTCTGTGAAGTGGAATAGAAAATAAGTAAGATCATCAATATCTAACAATATAGATATCCCTTGACCATCTAACTTGATACCTATAAAATCCATACTGTTTAGTATTTCACACCAATTTTACTGCAAAAAGTACTGTGCTATACATGATTCAAGTCAACACCATCTAATGTTGAAAGCAATAACAAAATTATTTTTTACTGAAGCTTATTTACTTCAAAGCACAAGTAAGAAAAACAAATCACACAAGGCCCAAATGAGAATCCTGGAGGGATTCCATTGCTCATAATTGGATTATACTAGTAACGAACTTGGAGGTTTTTTTTTCTTCCTTCCTTTTCTGTTAAAATTTTTAAAAAGATTTGGCTTTTTACTCCAAAAGTTTAGGTTCACTGCAGAAATCAGTTTTTCAATCTCCAGTTGTGATTGCCACTTAAGGAGAGACAAATGCCTAGACCCATAAAGTTTTGAAAGACCCTTATCCCTACCAGGTCCTTCATCCCATGGGTAATTGGAGTCAGCAGCCCCTGGTAGAAGACAGCAAGAACTTGGCTTTAAGGATGAACCAAAATAATGTTTGAATAAGTTAAATAGTGTTCATAAGCCCATGCCCCAAATCACTAAAATGTGAGGATGTAGAAATCTCTGAGAATAGGATATATTTCAAACACACACAAACATAGACTATTGCATATCATTTTTAGTTGAGGTCAAAATTTTAAAAGCCCTATTTCCCCAATAAAAGCAGGGAATTCAATCATTAGTGTTTCTCCTTCATTTACACCCCAGATTACTATAAATCCTGTCTGGAGATATCACTTCTTTCCAAACTTCACTTCATTTTAGCAGCATGCATGGAATACTGGCACTTTTCAAAGGTTTTCTCTCAAATTCTGTAGATTTACAAGGACTAAAAATAACTGGAAAAAAAGTGAGTGAGTCTGGTTTGTCGGATCCTCTCAGAAACATCTTTTGGATGACTCTTTTACACGTTAATTACACAAGCATGTGCTAAAAAAAGTCAGCACTGCAGGGGTGTTGCCTATAGTGGTTAAATCCCATTCAAGTCTGAACTTAAAGCAACCTACTAACTCTGGTGTGGAAGTTCTCCATACCAGTGAAATGACTAACCTATGTATTTTAGGTAACATTTAACTTAAGACTTTGGTAGAGTCCATCTGACAAATAAAATTAAAGCAGCAAATAGGAACAAGAAACAAAGGGAAAATGTTCCACATAACACTAAGTTTTGTATAATGAGATCCAAGGATATATCACCAGGTTATGTCTGATTATTTTTATTTCTTATAAAAATGGATTATTTTCAGTTACTTCGTCCTTTACTCCTCAACTTAGTCACTCTTCTTTCTTTGCCCCACAATCACAATACCATACTGCTGTTGTTAAGGGTCAGCCACCTTTTAAGAACTATCTTCTTATCCTGCCAACTATGACTTAACAAAATTCCTAGAGGTCAAAAAAAAAAAAAAAAAAAAGGTAAAAAATTTATTTTTGCTTTCACTCATTTTCAAATTCTACCACTCTCTTCTAAAGAAAATAATTTATCTCTTTAACTAACCAATATAAAAGGGTGAGTTATCAGGCTCCCTTTCTTCCTCCCTTTTCCCCTTCTAGAATAGTTTCTTGGTGACAGACCAAAATAGGGTATCTCAGGGCCATTTATTAGCAGGCTAGAAAAGAAACTGTGTTGAAGTAGTCACTATCCAATTCCCCCTATACATCCCTTTCCATACCTACTGGTAGTCACCTATTTCACATCTGGCTGGGAAAGAAGAATTTGGGAAACAAAATCTGTACATTTCTACATTTAAATCTGAAGATCACCAACAATAAAACATACTGTCATTAGAGCCAGACCAAACTGACAAGAAGCCTCTGGTCTGAGACACATAGAGGAGATTTCCTTCCCTGTCCCACAATACTGATATACCCATTTGGAGTAAAAAGTTTAATACATGAACACACAGATAATGGCATTTCAGTAGTATTGACAAGAAATGAATATGAGAGAATCCTCCATGTAACAACCAAGATTTTAAATCCTTCTAGGTGGCCCAATTACTTAATGGATATTGGGTAAGAACAAAATTCCAGCACAACTAAAGACTATATAGGTCCTGAGAGTTGGTTAAAATAGGATTTGACCTGGATTTTTATAATGGCACACCACTGACAAAATGGTTTGGACCATAAAAGGTTCTCCACAAAAACCTTTTATTGCAGAAGGTGGCTTTGAAAGGCAAAAGCAGTATCTACTCTCCACAATTAACCACCAATGCACTTAGTAGGTTGCATTCCCTGCTAAACTACAAGCCCACATCTTATTGCCTCATACCTGGGATCAAGGAGGTCTAGATTCCCAAAGATAACTGAATTGTCAGCTTTGCATGGAAAAAACAAGAGGTAGCTAAACTGACCTGTAGGTGCCCTTTCAGTGTGGCTGGGTTCATCTTAGCAGTCAAGGAGTCTCTCAACCATCAAGTATGGCCTCCTTCAAGGTTGAATGTTTGACTTGCATTTATCTGTAAAATGGAAGAGCCAAGATACTTGGAAAAAATGTCTTATCTCTGAACCCCAAGGGTGGATTGAATACTTTTCAGTTCATAAATGGAAATCAGTGACCCCACCTCATTACTAAACACATTTTTAAAAAAGAGGCAGAAAGAAAAAAGTGATCTTCTTACTATTTAGTACAAAGACCCTTCCAGGAATACTTTCTTGCCTCATGGCCTTTACATCTTAACAGCTGAGGGAATCCATATGTGTATCAATGAGTCTGTATGAACTTGTATCAAGAGCAGTACTTGGGATAAAGATGAACATGGGTCTGGCCATATTAACATAAGAGTATAGTCTCCTCTAACTAAAGAAGAAAATCTTAAGGACCATTTATTAAAAGCCTTAAGTTCTCTAATACAGTCTTTTAAGACCAATGAAAAGGAATTTTTTTAATTAAAGAAAAATGCAGGCACATAAAAATCTTTCAAGGATAAAAGTCCTAGAAGTATTCCCTGGTCCATGTCTATCTGCAGAGCTGTCTGCTCTGAGAAAGCATAACTGGAAGCAAGGCCAGGCCAAACAGAAAAACCTATGTGCCATACAGTCAAAGCTGTAGTAGCAAATTAAAAGAAAAAAATAGATCTTCTGCATATGCCTTTCTTATAACATTGAACCCATATTTTCTTTAGTAGAAGTTTAAAAACAAGTGGTAACAAAGTGGCTTGGGCTTCTGGTGGGCTAAAAAGGAGATATTCTGACAACCATCATCAATAACGTGGGTCAGGTCCCAAAGAACTTTCCAAAGGGGTCACTTACTGAAAGAATTTTGTGAGGGGTCAGGTATGGGATCTGAAGGAGGCTATTAAAGGAAGAATGTGAAATAAGAGAACAAAGCGTTCTTGTGAGGCATTTGTTATATCAAAAAACACAGACTGTGCCACACACTGTGAAAATACAGAGACCCCATGCAAGAGAAGCTGCCCCTGCGAGGCAGAAGCTATAAGTAGGGCAACAGTCTAGCCCAAGTTCATTTTTTGGACACCAAAGGTAGCAGTGGTAGAATCTTCACCCAACAAGAGTTTGCTGTTCTTTCATTTTAGGGAAAAAAAACTCCCTGTACAGTTATCTCTATAGCTCCCCAAAAGGGGTCCTGGTGAATACCCATAGCTGGGGCTAGGAGGCTTCCAATAACCTTCCCTTCATATGTATATGTTTTCTTCTTAAAATAAATTCCATGAACTCATAAAGCTCTCATCTGCAATCAAATGCGAAAGCAGAGCATCCTACTCAGAAGCTCTGAAACACACATATTGGCCTGAAAGCAAATCAGCCTTCCAGTCTCAGGTAAGACTGGTTCAGTTCAAAGGCAAGGGAGAAGCTTCTCCTGAATCCATGAAGGCAAGACAGGATGGCTTCAGATGGGTTTGTACAGCAGCGTAGTGACATACTTCTTCTTGTAGCGATGGGTTGCACTAAGAACCATCACACTGTCCTGCAGAAAAAGAAGCACTCGCAGTTAATTTCTTAGTTGCTGTGGGAGGCAGATGTTCCCAGCCAATAGTACTACACAGCTATTCACTGTCCACAGAGATAATTTGATGTAATAAAGAGGTTGATTTTAGAGTCAGATCAACTTCAGTTCCAAACTGGACTCCTATTGTTACTGTATTTGTAGCCTTGGGTAATCTACTTAAGGTCTCTAAGTCCTTTTTTCCCTCATCATACAGAGAATAACACCTACCATTAAGGTGGTCCAGATGATTACACAATATCTGACACAGTACCCAACACATGAAAGGTGCTAAAGAAACTACTAACTTCCTACTGTTCTTCCTTCCTCATTTCAAATTCTAATACTGAGCTTAAAACTAGCAAAGAAAAAAGAAATACACTGGCATTAATTTCTAGAAGGAAATCTTAAATGCAATGAGAAGGAAAATAATCCTTCTAAAAAAATCATTTCAAAGTCCTAAAGCAGGCCTAATTTCCATTTAATATCAGGGTTGTAGCTCAGTGGTAAAGCTCTTGACTAGCACATGTGAAGCACTGGTTTGTCCTAAGCACCATATTAAAAAAAAAAAAAAAAAAAAGAGAAGCATAAAAAAAAAACACCTCAGTCTTCATTATTTAAAAATAAAAAATCAGGGTTGAACAGAAGAAAATAAATCCTGATATAGAAGAAACTGAGGAATCCTCTTCTCTCTCCTTGAAAAAAATATAGATAACATCCTCCTTAGAAATACATTCAAGAGTAAGAACTACCATTTCCCAGACTATGTTACAACATGTGGATAAACCATAGGAGGAGATGGCAGGCTTGTGACTTCAATTGACAGTCAACAAGCAGTTATAGGAGACAAAATTCAATCAGAACCAAAAAACCCAAGCCAATCCAATTTAGAAACCAATATATCTTCCTACCTTCCCCCCATACTATATTATCCATAATGAATGCATCTTAGGTTAACACACTGACCAAAGTATACTAACATAGCCTAAATATGATAGAAGGCAGGTAAAAATCAACTTCAGTTAGGCATGCCTGTAATACTAGTTCCTCAGGAGGCTGAGGCAAGTTCAAAGTGAGCCTAGGCAACTTAGCAAGATCCTATCTCAAAATTAAAAAAAAAATGCTAGAGTAGAGCTCAGAGGTAGAGTGCTTCCCTCGCATGCACAGGCCCTGGATTCAAGCCCTAGTAAAATACACATGCACATAATCCCAGTAAAGATTTTATAGAAATGAGAAGCAGGTCAAAGAAAGACCTATTTGGTAAACCTGGCATGATGATACAGAGGAAATAACATGGAATTAATATAAGAAGACAGGACCTCAATCCTATCTGTTACTTACTGGCAATTTGACCTTCTCTGAGTCTTAGTTTATCTATAAAACAGGGGTTAAAAATAATACTTATCTTACAAGGTTATTATTATAAATGAAATTCAACAATATATTTTTAAATTTTCTGTATTACCATATAATCTATTCATCTTGGCTCTACCAGTCATTTCCCTAATCTAGCTACACATCTAAGAAATAAAAGCAGCTTGCTGGGAGCAGTGGCACATGGCTATAATCCCAGTGACTTGGGAGGCTGAGGCAGGAGGATTGCAAGTTCAAAGTCAGCCTCAGCAACACAATGAGGACCTAAGCAATTTTGCAAAATCCTGTCTCAAAATAAAAATAATACAAAAATGGCCAGGGATGTGGCTCAGTGGTTAAGAATCCTGGGTTCATTCTCTGGTACAAAAAAAAAAAAAAAAAAAAAAAAAGGCAGTTTAAAGGAAAATCACTGTGGCCAGATCTCAATGCACTTTTTTGAAGACTTTGGAGATGGAGCCACTGAATCTGTATGCTCACAAACTTCTCCAGGTCATTCTGATGATAACCAGCTTATTTTGACAGTCACAAAGCTATATAACTTTATTCTAATAGCCAAACCAGGCATGACAAGACAGAACACAACAGATATTTTCATCCCAGACTCTAAAGCAACAGAGAAAGAAAGGAAGACTCTAGAGCTAGAGGGAACAAGGCAAGTCTGGTCACTTTCTCATTTACCTACTATACAAGAAAGAAGCAAGCATTCGGGTATATACAACAGAGACACCTAAAAGTAGTTCAATTCCACATTTAAAAAACCAGAAAGAAGTCTTATTATAACATTCAAGCATTCTTTGAACTAGAAACTAAACTTATTTTTCTGCAAATGAAATCTTACTGCCATGAACTCAAATAAATAGGTGGTATAAAGATTCTACCCACCCCCACAAAACTGGGAAACAAAAAAGATCATTTAATTACTGGACAATTCAGCTAGCCAGAATGCAGACACAGAAACTGAGATTTAAAACAAAGGATGCATTAGCTAAAAAAAAAAAAAAAAAAAAAAAAAGTTTTTCTTAACCACTGCTGTCACCTTCAGCTAGAAGTAGTTGAGCAAGTAACCACTGCACAGTATATGTTACCCTTATCCTCTCATATAGGAGAGATGTGAAGAAACAAGGACAACACTTACCTTAATAGACAATGCATAGAGATGGTTCAGCATAACATGGTTGGGCTCAGGAAGTAAGGCTGGGTCACACTAAGAGATACCAAAAAAAAAAAAAGAAAAAGAAAATCATTAGTTGCATGGACAACAAAATAGCTTACTCTTTCTCAGAGCTCTTTGGCACTGTTAAGAACACCTTATCTCCTTTCAATAATGTATCCACTCCAGTGCGTATCAATAATACATTCTTATTACAGAAAATCTGGAAAATTCTCAGTTCGGTGCAGAAACCCTAAGCATCAAGATGTGCTATTCTTAATAGAGCTGAAACAAAAATCTTGCCTACAACAACTATGGGAGATTTGCACTAAATGACAAAAATAATTTCAGTGAGAATCAATGAGAATCAATACAGAAGTCAATTATATACAAATAAAAATTATAACTCTTTTGTATACCCCCAAGTGATAAGTATTCCTTATCTCATGATGGAAATCTCAGAAATTGGTTCTAGAATACGGTGTGGTCCTGATTTTTTCAAGAACAGAGACAACTATAAACTTTCATTTTAGTTCCTGAAGATACAACCCAGCCTTGGTAAAAGGAGTTTATAACGATATTCCTATATATATAATTCATAATCTCAGTATACCTTTATAATAATCCCAATTTTTAGGATTACTGAATTTTGGCCCAATTAATCCTACAGTTCCCCCAAATGCTCCAGCAATATTCTCTGGATACTTACAGAAATATTAGTGTCCTTGTTAAGAATAACTTGGAGTAGGTGAGGAGGAAGGATGGGTGGGGATTTGAATCTCTCTTCAGATCGAAATACATACATTTCTTGACCATAAGGCCCCGGGGGTGAACTGGAAAGGTCTAAAAGATATTTCCACAAATATAAGGCAAAGTAGGAAAATTAGGATAATGCATGAAAAAAATACATGGCCACTAATATTAAATATAGAAGTCATGGATCATAATTTGTAACCCATTGGGTCTACAAGTGTCAAGTAGCACAAGGAAAAAGTTCCCAACACAGAAACATGATTCCATGAAGAGGAGAGGGGTCCTAGGCCTGAGCTCAGAAAAGAGCTACCCCATTTGTCATCTATACAACCTTGGAAAATCCCTTTACCACAATCGTTTTCCTCATCCATAAAAATAAAAATAATCTTTGCCCTATTTCCCAATATTTCCAAGGAAATCAAAAACATAATAAAAAATTTACAAAATTTGGGGGCTAGAGGTATATTGATCAGCGATCGAGTGCTTGCCTTGCATGTATGATGCACTGGGTTCAATCCTCAGCACCACATAAAAATAAATCAATCAGGGCTGGGGATGTGGCTCAAGCGGTAGTGCGCTCGCCTGGCATGCGTGCGGCCGGGTTCGATCCTCAGCACCACATACAAACAAAGATGTTGTGTCCGCCGAAAACTAAAAAATAAATATTAAAATTCTCTCTCTCTCTTTAAAAAAAAAAATAAATCAATCAATCAAAAATAAAGGTATTATGTGCATCTACAATTGAAAAAAAATACTTAAAACATTTACAAATTTTTGATTATATTCAAAAGAATTGCAAAGTATTATTTTTTTAAAAGTCTTTCTTTTTTTTTTCTTTTTAAAATATTTTTGAGTTGTCAATGGATTTTATTTATTTATTTATTTATATGCGGTGTTGAGGATCCAACCCAGGGCCTCCCACACGCCAGGCAAGTGCTCTACCACCAAGCCACAACTTCAGCCCTATTGTGTTTTTTTTTAAAAAAACTACTTTTCCCCAAGGACTACTAACTTGTAGGGCCTCATAAAACTATAGAATTGTGAACTGATTTATCAAAATAACAAGATAAAGCTGAGTAGTTTAATAAGACAAATGAAGCTCATCTAACCTCTGCTGGGTGATACCACCAAAAGTCAATGGAAAACTTGAAATATTATTAGAGTTTTCAAACATTAGGCTAGAGCCCACTAGTGGGCTATAAAAAATACAATAGCAGCCATGTGCTGTGGCATAAGCCTGTAATCCCAGTGATCCAAAAGGCTGAGGCAGGAGGATCTCAAGTTCAAGGCCAGATGTAACAACTCAGTGAAACCCTGTTTCAAAATAAAAGGGGTTGCCAGGCATGGTGGCACACATCTGTAATCCCAGTGGCTCAGGAAGCTGAGGCAGGAGGATCGTGAGTTCAAAGCCAGCCTCAGCAAAAAAATCAAGGTACTGAGCAACTCACTGAGACCCTGTCTCTAAATAAAATACAAAATAGGACTGGGGATGTTGCTCAGTGGTCATGTGCACCTAAGTTCAATCTCTGGAAACCCCTCCCAAAAAATAAAAAAATAAAAGGGGTTGTGGTTGTGGTTCAGTTGGTAGAGGGTCTCTGAGTTCAATCCTCAGTACCAAAATTAATAACTAAATAAATATTTTTAAAAAACAGAAAAAAAATACATCACATGAAATAAAGGTAAATATTAAACCACATATTATACTCTGTATGTTTTTGTATTTGTGTACTGGATCGCAATGCAAAATAAATGTCTAACTGTAAATCCTGGTTAAAAAGTTAAAGTATACCAGACTGAGATGTTTTTTGCTATATATAAAGAAGAGGACCTAAATGTTTAAGAAATATGTGTGTATATGTACATATGCACATATATACAGGATTCAGAAGATAGAATTCTGAGAAGACATGGAAATACAAAACAAAATTAAAAGACCACTTTCATGAATGAAATTTAAAAACCACTTTTGGGTTACAAGAAATACATGGCAAGAGAGAGCAAATACTATAAAATTACCTCGACAAGATGTCTCAGAACTTTCCATAGAATCTAGTTTTAAAGCATCAAACACCTCAAAATCAGATTTCTTGACATGGATCAAATTGTTAATCGTACCAAGCTGACTGGTAACCACAGGCTGAAATGATAAGCAGAAAAAAAATTCTTGAATCCCCTTTTCAAATCCCTTTCTTCCATCCAACCTCCTCTTTGTTTCTACTAAGGGTGAAAAATGATCATAATCAGAACCTCCATCTTTTATCGAGAGAGGAATTCTCTAGTATAGGGGAATGGCTACCCATCAATTCAGACAGCAATGACAGTTAAAATGAGGCTACTAAGTCATGGGGACCTTTTTAGATCAAAGACTTACCTCTGATGGATCATGAACCCACTGTCCATCTACAAAAAACTTGTATTGGTGCTCTCCCTCGGGGAGGTCCAGGATGGCAACGAAGTCATTATGGCTATAGAAGAAAACAGAAGGCCAAACAGTCAAGTTCCTTTTAGAAGACAGAATGTTAAAAAACAAGTGGTATTTACGGTATCATACCAATGACCTCTCATATCCCTAAGCCACTGTATCCCTCATGTAAAAAAAATAACGTATAAAATCAGGTCTTTTTTTTCTATATCATCTTGGATATATATTTGCCAACCCTTCCAAAAATTCTGGTTCTTAAATCAATGTTTAGAAAAAAATAGTCAACGATCTCCCAAAATGGTTCACCTTAGTATAACTATTTTGCTCCTGTAGAACAGATCCATCACAAGTATAAAAACCATAACAATGAGGTCTGGAATATAAAAGTACTTAAAATACTTTCCGTATTTTGGTGAGCCATTACTAGAAAACCAATTAATTCACTATTGCTCTGCAAGCACCAAATAATACTACTACAGCAAACTTCACAGTGCATTTTGCTTTAGTGCAGAAGTCAGAGCAACAGATTCAGTCAGTTACAGATTTCCTCCAAGCATAGAAAAGACTTGTGTAAGGGCTGGGGTTGTAGCTCAGTGGCAGAGCACTTGCCTAGCATGTGTGAGGCACTGAGTTTGATCTTCAGCAGCACATAAAAATAAAAATAAAAAAATAAAATAAAGGTATTAAGTTCATCTACAACTGGGGGTGGGGTGGGGAAGACTGTGTAACACCATCCTAAAAAATACACCCACCAAAACTGTTACAAATTCCCCTGAGGTAATGATATTCTAAGAGGTAAAGCATATGACTCACAATGAGGTTAAAATACAATGCCATTGGGCTGGGGTTGTAGGTCAGTGGTAAAGCGCTTGCCGTGCACGCAAGAGGCCCTAGGTTCAATCCTCAGAACCACATTAAAAATGAAGAAGAAAAAAAAAGCCTATTGCTAAAAACAAAACAAAACAAAAAACAATGCCATCAATACTAAGTGGTCACAGAAAGGGGCATATTCTAAAGAGAACATCTAGTGAGTGGAGATGGGAAGTCCAGCCTGTTCACTCTTATTAAAAGGGAAATCAGGTCTCTATTCCTGGATCCCTTAGCCTCAATCAAGACACTTATCTTCTTCACCTCTTAATCAGTGGAATCTTGGTGCTCCAGTTGTTGAAGGACCCAGAAATGAAGACCTCCTTGCCTCCTTCAGACCAACGGATAACAGTAGGCCGGGCCTGCTGCGTAGGCTTTACAGAGTCGTCCAAATCTTGCTGCCATGATACAAACTCTTTGTCCCCAGGGAGCTGTAAGAAGGAGTAGGTCATCCCTAGAATAAATTGTGACCCAGGAATTCTTAAAAGATCATTCTCCTTTATTAGGGTAGAGAGGGGTGCTGGGTTTCAGCTATGGAGACATGCCTTAAAATTAGAAACTAAATCAGATTTTTAACAAACCATAGGAAAAGAACTCATCTTGAACCAAAAATAGTCAAATGGCTTATGCTCAAGTGCTGCATGAATCAAGAGTCTAACTTTTGAGTCTGCGTATATTACTTACCCTGTCAGAGCCTCAAGATTGCCCTTAAAAAAAGGAAAAGAAACCCTACTCCCCTACTGCCAGTTTAACTCATACACAGGCAATTATGACATGCTTCTGAGTACCTCTTAAGAGAGAAAAAAGAAAACAAAAGATAGCTATATTTTTAAAAATTGTCAGGTATACATTTTTCACAAGTAATTATAAATAGCTCTCAATTATCAGCTGTAATGAAAGTTACAGATACCAAACTTCATAAGTAATTTATAAACTCTATTTTAGCTAATAGGATACACAATGAAGAGACATTAAAAATTTAATATCAAAGGTCTGGGGAAGCAGCTCAATGCCAGAGCATTGCTTAGCCCGTGCAAGGCCCTGGGTTCAAACCCCAGAACCACAGATTAATCAGTTAATTAATAAAAAGAAAACCAGATCATTGATTTTATAAAATGGAGAAATAGTGGGCTGAGGATGTAGCTTAGTGGTAGAGCACTTGGTCTAGCTAGTGAAAGGCAGTACTGCGGGGGAAAAAAAAAAAGTGGCTATGAAATCTTACTTGCTCACCTATGCCAGGTTTAGTCTATTTGAGGTACAGGAATGCAAATTTTGGCACCTCAAACAGCAAAAGATAAAACAGTTTCCTTTAACAAAAACAATTATGTAATCAAATAAGGTTTGCGTGATTCTGAATAACATTAACTCCTTAGTTTTTTGTTTTTCATTACCATCCTTTAGACCAGTAGTTGACAACTACAGCCAGTAAGCCAAGTGCTTTTATAAGGTTTTTACTGAAAAACAGCTACATTCATTTGTATACCTATTATCTACAACTGTTTTCATGCCACAGTGGCAGAACTGAGCAGTTGTGAAAGACTGAGCTACAAAGACTAAAATATTTACCATGTGGTCCTTTACAGAAAATGTTTGCTAAGCCCTGCCTTAAATTGGCTTAAACTTAAATTGGTAAACAGATAAATAAGATCATACAGTGTTAAGTAAAGATATTACCAAACAAAATAATGTGCATTAAAAAAAAATGACTAGCTTATTTACTTGGGCTTTTTTTTTGGGGGGGGGGGCGGTTGGGGGAAATGGAAAAGTCTACTTTTCCATACTTCTCTCACTATTTCTCAAAATTACAATATGAGAAACTAGGCACATAATCTAAAATAAAATCTAAGATCCATGGATATAGCAGACGAGAGGCCCTGGGTTCCAGCCCCCAGACAGCAGAGTAAGTACTTAATTAACTAAAAGGAAAAAAAAAAAGGTGAAAAAAGAAAACTGAAGGAGCTTTTATATTATTACAAGGAATTAGCTTAAGAGAAAACCTAGTCTCCATATTCTCAAAACAATGCATTTTGTCTGACTGGCTGCATTAGAATTTCAGGAATTTTTGCATATGCCTAAGAATAATCTAAGATTGCAATTCAGATACAGGATCTGGAAATCTATTTTTAAAATCATCCCAGAAAAGACTTTGATTATGTTAAAATAAAGAAAAAAAATCTCACCTTTTGGGGTACATTAAAAATACAGAAATTTGTTATGACATTTGGAATTTGCTTCAAAAAAAATTGGTGGAGAGACAATAGATTAGGGTATGGTTGATATACATTCATTTGTGCTTTATCAATGTCTAAACTTGGTGAGAGGTACACAGAATTCATTATACTATTTTCCCTACTTTGTAAATGATTCAAATTTTCCATAAAGTATTTAAACAAATCTCAGGTGATTCTAATACACAAATAAGATGAGAACCATTGAATTAGTCTGCTGGGTGGTATCCAATGTAGGCCCCATGGCTACTGTTTCTATCAAGTATTTTACGACTTAGGATTTTTCGTTTAGAATCTGAAAGTCACAAACTACTAATGCTCCAAATTTTGGAGCAAAGCCCTTCCATTTATGACGTGACATTTCTGTGGTAGGAAAGAATGCTGCTGACTACCAGAAAAATTGATTAAAGTAAAACAGCAGAACCACCAGGGAATAAAAGACAAAACAACAACTAAAATTATAATTTGAAGAGGTTTTAGTAAAATATAGAGGCAAAGAAAAGGGTAGGGTAAAAAAACCTTAGATTTGGATGGGATTAAGAATTATATGAACCATTTTCTTATTTTCCAAATGGCAAGACTGAAGTGAGGGAAAGAATGATCCAGAATAGGCCCCAATTCACACAGAACAACTTGGTTTTTATTCAGGACACCAATGACTTCAGTCATAGCTTGACAAATACTTTGACAAATACAATGTACTTAAATCCTGAGTCATTGATGTAGAAAAGCTGTAAAAATACAATGAGGTCCATCACCTTGGGAAAGCTTTAAAGAAGTAAATACGTATGACTGGGTAGACAGACCAAATGAGGAGGAAAAAGTTCTGAAGTGGAAGAGAAAAGAAAGGAATGGAGAAAAAGCCCCCAAGAAATGCTCCTTTCAGTCACTCTCATTTCTTCTTCTATGATCATGTTCTCAATTGGGATCCAAAAAAATTAAACCCTAGTATCCAAATTTCATGCACTACCACTATGGCAAATAAAACTAAATTCTCTCCAAAGCTTCCACACATACCCCCAATCACCTCAATCCCTCCATTTTTCTATTTCATCCCTGAACAGCCTACCAGAAAGAATTAAAAGTATTTATGCTGACACTTCTAAGTGATTAGAAACATTAGGATGGTAATCACATTGCTGTCAGCTCCATCTGTCTTTTCTGTTAGGGTGAACACAAGTGGCCTCTTCCTGTAAGTCCTTCAACTGAAAGCAAGGTCTTCAGGTGAATGAATTGTTGCTTTTAGGCCAAGGAAATATTTTGAAGGACTATTGCAGATTGGAGCTATCTGGGAATCACTGGCTCTCCCACTGGAGAAGCTGGCCTGAAAGCACATCCTGTCACCACAACTACAAAGTATAGGACAAAAACTGAACAGTCAACTAAATGATGCCCTTTATTGATCTTCAAGACTAGGCACAAATATTCAAGTAAATGAGTGGTGACTGGTCACAACCAGGCCAAAAGGGATAAGGACCCAAAGTACAGAGTTCCTAAAAGAGCAAAAGGGATCCAAACAAACAGAAAATTCCGGGGGGAAAAAAAAAATCAAGGAAAATGTAAGTTAGGGCCAGCGGTTCAAATAAATTACCCTCACAAGTTTTCCACCAGAGTCTACAACCTATAAATTCTCAGAAGAATCAAGGATGGTGCAGGCGGGGAAGGTGTCTATAGTCCCTGCCTTAAAAATGTGTCTCAAGGCTTAGTTAAAATACCAAGAAAACAAGAACTACACGTCTACCCTATTTTGAGGCGGCACCACAAGAATTTACGACCGAACACCTCTGTCCCCGGGAAATCCCTTAAAAAAAAAAAAAAAAAAAAATCCCGTAACTCAGTTCAATGCGATGAAAAGGAGCCAAGGAAACACGGAGCCCGGAAGCCAAGCAGCAGCTGCACGGCCACGGTCGGGGGCCGCGGAGAGGAGTACCTTGGAGTCCGGCAGGCTGAAAACGCTGGGGTCGTCGGTGCTCCCGACCATGATCTTGTGCTCCTTGCCCGGGGCATGGCTGCCGCCGCCCTCCGCGCGTGCAGCCTTGGCGCCGTGGCGCTCCCCGGACACCCGGTCGCTGGTGGTGTTTCCCATGGCTGCAGCTCGAATCGGGGGCCACCTGGCGCGAAGAACTACACCTGGCGGGGAACACCCCAGCGGCCGCGTCAGGGGCACACCCGCCCCGCCTCTGCGCCTGGGGACCCGGGAAGGGAATCCCCGCCGCAGGAAACCACGCCCCGTTGTCCCCAACCTCCCGGCCTACAGGGACGCCCGCAAGCCCCCGGGCCTCCCGTCGCCCCAGCTCTGAAAACCCACCCTCGGGACTCCCCCGCAGTCCCGCGCCCACTCCCGCACCCCGATCACCTCCAGCGACGCGCTCCCTCTCCCCGGGACCACGGGCGCGATGGCCGCCCTGAGGACAAGGCCACCAATAAAGTTATTGAAATTGAAGCTGCACCCGGGGTGACGATTTGGGTTTCCTCCTAAAATGGCTACGAGGCCCGCGGCGCGGGGCCGCCCCTGCGCACTCCTGCCGCCCTCCGCTGCGGAGCCCGGGCCCGCCTCTCTAGCCACTGCCGCCGCCTCGATGGTGGGCGCGCGCAGCCTCCAGCGCCGCGCGGGGGCGCCGGGCAGGGACAGCTCCAGCGGCGACGTGGGTGCCTCGGGCTTCGCACTTCCAAGGCGAGGAAACAGCTCGGAGGACTCGCGGGGCTCGCTGCCACAGGACCGGTGCTGCTTTCTTTCGGGGCGTCTCACGCGACCTCAGGTGCGCCAAAACATTTTATGAGCCGCGTTTCTCTGAGCGGTGACCGGGAGAGGTGGGTTCCTATAGGGAATAATAAAATAGACTTCATCTCCAGGCTGAGGGAGTAGAGGTCAAGGCTAGAGGCTAAGACTGTGCCAAACCACAGGAAAGAGTAGTCAGCCCAAATTTGGGTCTGGGGAAGAATTCAAGATGCAGTGTCTAGTTGTAGATAGACCTTGTCAAATTAGTGAATGGTTAGAAGAAGAATTCTCTTATAAGCTAAGAAATAACATTTGCAGTGATTAACTCCAGAAGAAATAAAATCCAAGAGAAACGTCCACAACAAAAACACCAGAAGGCACACAAAATGTATAAAAAGGTCACAGACGATTCTAGGGTTGGGAGGGGTCCAGGATTTTATGAAACGGAACTTATTGTTCTCAACAGAAACCTTTATTACTAAATATGTGTCACATATACAGACCAGCAGCATTCATGTATCACCTGGGTGCTTGTTAGAATCTATGCAAAATCCGGGGTCCCATCCCCATGTACAGAACCAGAATCTGCACTTAACAAGTGAGAAAATTGCTGCTTTAACAGCTGATAGAGAGCAGATCCAGATTTGATCCCTTTTCATATTCTGCACACATCTTGTACTGAGTAAGCTTTCAATAAACATTTGCAGAATGAAGGGTAAAGGAATACTGTTCACTACATTTCTAAGGAGATTAGGCATAGTGATGGGGAATGCAGCCAGGGCTGGGGAACTCCAAGTCACACAGGCCAGGGTTTCTGAGTGAGTAGCCCTGTTGTAAAGTCTGTTCTTGTATTATGATTTTGAAAAGTCTACTTAAGTCAATATACTGCTACCCCATTCTTTGCTCTGTTCCTTATGAACTCATCTTCTTGCTATTGATCAAAAAGAGTTTAAGGGAATAAAGTGCAGTTTTACCACAACCCCTTGCTCACCTCTCCAAATTCTTGACTGTCTGAGCACCTCCTTTGGGTTATCCTTACTTTTCCCCCTTTCACCTTCAATTCCTTTCATCCTTCCTTGTGGGACTCAGAATAATTCTGACTGGTTATGTTCTCTTAGGGGAAAAAAAGCAGCAAGGTGATTAGCTGACTGAAGAGAAGAGACAAAGTATTTGAGATTTGAGCAGGTAGGAGGTGAGAAATAATCAACTAGAATAGTAGGACAGATAATTGACTAGAAAAATGAAGTGTGAGTGGCAGATTGTACTGAATGTCTAGGTATGGTGGTTATGAGTATAAGACAAGCCAATCCACCATAGTATTATTTTCATCATAATTAGCTGTTACTTGGAGAAGGGCAACAAAAGAGTTGAGAGTGCATAACAGGATGAAAGTATAATGTTGGGCCATGGATTTTAAACCGGTTGGGCTGGGAAATGAAGAGCAGATTGATGGAGGGCCTAGAGGAGTCAAAAATACCAGAGTGAATGAACTGAGTAGGTAAGAGATGATTTGGAGTGTAGAATGTTTGACATTGAAATTTCAGTGCTATTGCAGTTATTCACATTGACTGTCTTAGATATGACCATAGGTGTAGGTAGGTGAGGTGAGATTGATCATAAAACATTCAGAGTAAGGTTATAGAACTGAAAAATGAGATGGTAGAGAATATTAGAGGCCCATCTCAACATTTGTTTCCTCTTCCTTTTCAATAACCTTGGTATAATAACCTTGGTGTGATAAAAGCATAACAACCATATGGTATGGCACATTTCTTAGCTTTCCTGGTAGCAAGATATATGTGATTACATTCTTCCAGCGAGATCTAAGAGGAAATTTTATATGGAACTTACATTAAATCTTAAAGGAAAGGGTATGCCCTTACATTTCTCCTCCCTTCTGTGTAGGATGTTCATAGAATGGCTGGAATCCAGCATGAGGTAGCTGGACCATGAGGTAGCTGAGAATCATAGAGCAGAAAAACAAACTACGGAGCTGTTATATATCAAGTCTGCCTACCTCTGGACTTTTTTATGTGAGAGGGAAATAAACTTCCGTCTTGTTTAAATCATTTTTTTGGGGGGGGTTTCTTTTATATATAGCCAAACCTAATCCTAACTAATATTTTGTATAGGTGAAAGTATTACCTAGATATTAAAACTGCAGGGGTAGTTATGTATATAGAGAAAGGCACAAAGCTTGATACTAAAATATTTACAGAATGAAGGGGAGTGAATGTGTCTGAAAATAACTACAACCAGGAGAGGTGGTGGCCAATACTTCAGTGGAGTAGGAGGATTTGAGAAAGTAAAGAGAAATAGCAATGAGGAACTCTAGGCAGCTTGAGGATTGAATAAGACATACACCCCACTTTCTTTTTATGTTAAGATGCTGTGTGTGTGTGTGTGTGTGTGTGTGTGTGTGGTGCTTGGGATTGAACCCAGGGCCTTGTGCATTCGAGGCAAGCACTCTACCAGCTGAGAGGATCCTGACTTTTTAAAAGAACTATTTGCATAAATAAGTTATAGACAGGCAGGTGTGTTTCAAATCACAATAGAATATTAGATATCATACTGACTCAGATCAGTGGGTCATTCCAGAATGTCTTCTGAAAAAACATGTTTGCCCCACAGACATTTCAAAATGTTAAGCATCTTGATCTCCTTAATCATGTTTTCTAAAAGTGTTATTCACTATTTTTTAAAAATACCTTTATTTTATTTATTTATATCTTGTGCTGAGGATCGAGCCCAGTGCTCCACACATGCTAGGCGAGTACTCTGCCACTGAGCCACAACCCCAGCCCCCCCACTATTTACTTTTTTAAAAACTCGGTCATATTTTTATCTCCCATGTTATGTGTATTCATTTAATTAATTAATCTATGGAGGCTTCACTGTGTTCCAGGCACTACACTAGGAACTAAGAACACATAACTGCAAAGAAATCTGCCTCCCAAGAATGTACTAGTTCAAAGAGGAACCATGTGAGAGAACCATTTGTTACCACATAGTTTTGTAAGGATATTCAACAGGTATGATAAAAGCACAAAGGAGCCCAGGTTCATATTGGGGATTAGGAAGCTCTTCACGGAAGAGAAAACAGATGAACTTAATCTTGAAGATGACAGAGGTGTTATTTAGCTGAAGAATTTATTGAAATTACAACAAAATAATATACAGAAGCATAGAAAATTAGGCACTTTGGGAAATTCCAAGTTTATTACTACATTACGGTTAGCCAAAGTAACAAGGCAGGCCCAATATTAAGTAACATTCCCTTACTTATGTACATACTACCCTTAGTATGAATCTTGTTTGAGGGGACTACCGGCTTCATGTTCTCAGATACAAGAAAACTTATCTAAGTGAATTAAAGAAATTGTCTTTTGACTTTATATCACCATTTCTCAGTCAATACAATTACAGCCAATACTTAGCAAAGGAGGTAAAATTTGCTGTAGTAAATTATTATGTTTTATCAAATCAACTTAATTTGTGAGTAATCAGGTAAACACATAGTAATGTAGATGAATGGCATAAACAATGTTGTTCTTCTTCTAAGAAAATTCCTCTAGACTGTAGCTCTAGGTCAAATCCTGAATCAAATTAATACATTTCTTTTTTTTAAAGTAATTTTTAAATTTTGAAATAGTTTTTGATTTAAGAAAGTTTGCAAAAATATTAGAGTTCTTGGATACACCCACCTAGTTTTCCTTACTGTTGACACATTATTATGGTACATTTGTCACAACTCATAAACCAACATTGACAAATTATTATTAACCATAATGCCTACTTTATTTATATCCACCAATTTTTACTTACTATCGTCTCTTCATTCCAGAATACCCCATTATATTTATATGACAAGTCTCCTTAGGGTTCTCTATACTGTGTTCAAAACTGCCTTGTTTTTGATGACCTTGACAGTTTTGAAGTGGTCAGGCAGTTTTTAGAATATTCCTCAAATTGAAATTGTTAGTACTTTTCTCATGGTTAAACGGGGTATGGTTTTAGGGGGCGAATACCACAGTGGTAAAGTAACCTTCTCATCATATCATATCAAGGGTACATATTTTCAGTATGCCTTATCGCTGTTGATGTTAATCTTGATCACCTTGCTGAAGTGATATTTGTTGAATTTTTCCACTGAAGTCACCTTTCCCCCTTTCCATACTGTAATTTTTGAAAGGAAGTGAATCTATCTATGCAGCCCATTTAAGAAGTAGACAATTATGCTCCATCTCCTTGACAAGAGAGTATTTTTATATAAATTATTTGGAATTCTTGTGTATGGGAGAGTTGTCTGTTCCATCTCATTTATTAATTTATTCAATCATTTACTTATATCACTATGGACTCGTGTATTTTTATGTCTTATGTTCTAATAGTAGGTTATTTATTTTATTGCTCAAATTTGTTCATTATTTGATGGCTTCTGTGTCCCCTTGACATATGCTTATTCAATTTCTGTTGTGAGTACTTCTTTACTCTCTGGCATTACGAGAATGCATTTTTCTTTGGTAACCAGATTTAATATAATTGGAGAATTTTTGTATAAATATATATACACATATGCATGATCTTAACGTAAGAGCAAAATATATAAATAGAATATTAATACATATTTATCAATAACTAAGGCTTTTAATCTTGAGTTGTTTTGAATGCAATATCCTATTCACATCTTACATTCAGCTTGGTTTAGAAATCAAGCAATGATTTTTTGGGGGGTAACCTTACATGTTATACATACAATGAGAGAGTCAAATCAGTTTAAAAATACACACTTTAAAGAGGAAACTGGGGTGTTTTTAGTGATAATTAAGAATTAGGGGATTATTAATTCAATACATTTACATTCTAAAAGAGGCAAGTTTATATTATGAAAGAAGAAAATTTAAAAAGCAAGAGACCTTCAATTTACCTTTTTAAAAATACCTTTATTTTATTTATTTAATTTTATGTGGTGCTGAGAATGTAACCCAGGGCCTCACACATGACAGGAAAGCACTGCACTGAGCTCAACCACAGCCTTCAATTTACTTTTGTGTGTGTGTGTGTGGTGGGTACCGGGGATTGAACTCAGGGTCACTCAACCACTGAGCCACATCCCCAGACCTCTTTTGCATTTTATTTAGAGGCAGGGTCCCACTGAGTTGCTTACTGCCTTGCTGTTGCTGGTGCTGGCTTTGAACTCGTGATCCTCCTTTTTCAGCCTCTAGCTGCTGGATTATAGGCAAGTACCACTGCACCCAGCTTAAATTTACTTTTGAACAAGAGTAATTTGCAGATTAAAAAATAGTAGATCCGGCGCTGTGGCTCAGTGGTAGCGCACTTGCTTGGCATGTGTGAGGCACTCGGTTCCATTCTCAGCATCGTGTGTAAATAAATAAAATAAAGGTCTATCAATAGCTAAAAAAAAAAATCTTAAAAAACACTAGATATACTTTCTTTTTAAAAAATTTATATTTATTTTTTAGTTGTAGTTAGACATGTTACCTTTATTTTATTTATTTATATGCGGTGCTGAGGATCAAACCCAGGGCCTCCATGTGCTAGGCTAGCACTCTACTGCTGAGCCACAACCCCAGCCTTATATCTACTTTCACAGATAACAAATACCCTATATCATAGGGATTCCAGAAGGAAAAAGACCTAAGGAATAATACCAACTTTCAGCTCTCTAGTTCTCGAAAAGTAAATGAGGTGAAATGATAGGCAGCTGTCCAAATAGTTATGTGATTAAGAAGTCTAACTCTCAAATATCTAATTTTTTAATGTATTAGTTGGATGTGCTTTTACTTGTTCAAATTTATCCTGTAGTTAAGAAATCGGCAGCAATCCAAATTTAAAAACACACTTCACAACAGCTATTTGTGAATAAACACTTGACTGGTACTTCCAATACCTTTCCCCATTGGAGTTCAGTGTGCTTGACATCTGACAATATATCACGAAACAAGAATAGCAAAACTTCAACAGATGAGAAAACAGAATCAGCGGCAGCACTGGGATGTAAACCCAAGCTCCTGCTTTCTATTTATTTGCTCTGTTTTTCAGAACTACATTGTATGATTTAAGAAAAAGGGGTATTAGAATACTCCTACATTTTAGTCAAAACCTCTTTGAATTCTTATTACTTAGATTTTACTTGAAGGAGTGGAAGAAAGAGTAAGAGGAAACGAAACATCACATTTGTAGACTTGACTACAATAGTTGGCAGGTACTTATTTCCTAAACTAAAAATCTGATTAGATCCAATCTGGGAACTAAGAGATCAAAAAAGATAGGACAGCTACTTAAAAAATATCCCAGTTTTCTCAACCAAGTAGAACCCACGGGTAGATGTTAAATTATTAAAACAACCTATGAGCCTAAAAAATTGAAACTAATTTCTTTATTAAGAAAATAAAGCCATGTTGCTTAGGGAAAGGAATAAAAATGACCAATTATCAAGTACATTAGTGAATAGTAAGTAAAACAAAATGTTTTATGTATCTATATTTCTTATAGAAAAACAACTATTTTAAGACCATTATTTCTCCTATCTCTCAGAAAATGTATATTTAATTATAATATTAAAAACAAAAATTGACCTTTTTTAATAGAAAATCAAATCTTATCAGAAGAATTACATGAAGTCAGTCATTTTTTAAAATGTGTATTAGTTGTAGATGGACACAATACCTTTATTTTTATTTATTTATTTTTATGTGGTGCTGAGGATCGAACCCAGTGCCTCACCCATGCTAGGCAAGCACTGTACCACTGAGCTACAGCCCCAGTCTGAAGTCAGTCATTTTTTACAGATGCTGATTTAGGGTCCCTACCATAATATTTGATAATCAACAAGGCCACATATCTGCTAAGGACATAATATAAAGATGACTAAAAGAGTGCCTGAGCTCACAGTCTAGAAATTATCGAACGGAAAAAGTGACAGATCACAAGAGGAAGGAGGATGAATCAACACAAATGAAAACACAGGATTTCATTATAGGGAAAAGTGGAAAGAGGATCAATGCTTCTGAAAGAAACAAAAGTAGATTTCTAAGAAATGAAACTGAGAATTGTTCATTCTTGTTAGGTTTGGAAGCCATCTCTAGATTGAGCTTCCCAATGAAAGCCAGGTTTGTGACAATGGGACATCTAAAAATAAGCCATAATCACTGCAAAGAAAATAACAGCTAGCATAATCCTGCCCATTGTCTTTGTTAAAGCTATGGAATTACTCTTTTCAATTACTCTTGTTTTCATAGGCTTCCTGATACGATCATGTGTGGTAAAGATGGTTTTTCGAGCCCCATCCCACTTTCCAGGGCCCTGTAGACGAAACTGGGCTGGAGTACAAGGTCCCAAAAATAACTGTAATGCTAGCTTGGGATCAGTGAAGGCCAGAGACAGTAGATTAGGCCTGACTCCCACCAAATCAGCAATCTGATCCATGGTATCAATGTAGTCTCCCTGAATGGTATGGCGTTGGCTTTCCACGTACCTAAAATAGAGAAGAGAGAAGCCATGGTCTATCAAAACAGGCAATCAACTAGTCAGTCAGTCAACATACACAATGTATTGATTTGGGGCACATTATATTGATTTTTTAAATTTTTTTTTTTTAGTTGTTGATGGACTTTTACTTTATTCATTTATTTATATGTGGTGCTGTGAATTGAACCCAGTGCCTCACACATGCTTGGCAAGTGCTCTACTACTGAGCTACACCCTCAGCTTGTATTTATTTTATATTGGGCTACATGCTGTAGTAAACAGTGAAGAAAGATGATATTTGTCACCATTCTTAGAGATCTTATAATACATTAGAAGAGAAAAGATTGTTGTGTACGTAACAGAACATAAAAGGGTATTATGAGTCCGACTGCTAAATAGAAATGTAAAAAAAGGGTAGTTAAAAAAGGGCCATTGAAGAATTGAAAGATATAGGTGAGAACAAAGAAAAAGTATTTAAAATCAGGGAACAACAGCAAAGTGAAGGAATAAAGCAAGAATGGGCATAGAATATTTGTGGTCATTGTCTAAATTAGTAGAAAACAAGAATGGACAGCATTCCAGACACCGAAGACTCTGATGAAAAAGAAGGAACTCACTCCAATCCTCAAGCATGGGATTCTCAATTACTTTGTGAGGGCAGTGGTCATGAGATGGGTGAGGGGTGTCCACAGATCAGGGCTTCCCAGCAAAAATGTTAATTTGGAATCCTGAAAGGTCCCTGGAGAGTGACTTATCCTACAAGAGGAAGTGGTCCTCCCAATGGAGCCAAGTTGAATGATTATACCAAGTGCAGATTTGGAGAGCTAAAAAGACTTTTTAGTGGGAAAATACAGTTACAGTAAAATATATGGAAGAAGTGTGACTAGGAGACTTTCACTTTTATTTTCTATAATGAAAAGAACAATGGAACACAAAGTAAGTAAAAGTTAAATTAAGCTAATTGAGGAATCCAAAACAAAGACAGGAAAAATGATTAGAAAATAAATTTTTGGTAGAATTCTTGAGATGGATTCCAGAAGAACTGATAGATGGTCAACTAGTACCTATCAAAATGGGGCTGGAGTTTTGAAGAGATGAAACAGGAAAGAATCTGAGAGCTTTCCTTTCTGGAGATTATATTAATTCAGGTGTTTGTACACGTGCATTTATTTATCTTATAGTAGTATGTCAAGAACTGGAGTTTTTATGAAGGTTTCACAGATTCACTAGTTCCAGCCTTGTGGGGTTGTTATGAGGATTAAATAAGCTTCAAGCACATGAAATACTGAATGTGTGTAAACTTTCAACCTTCAATAAAGTTCGAATTATATCCTTGGGGACCGCTCACAGTAAGAAGGTGGTTGGACAAGCATAAGTCAAAAGAAAGAGAGCAGGAAAGTCCAAATAAGAGAATTTAGTGCCAGAAAAGAAAGGAAAGAAAGCCCTCTAAGAAGGGAAAATGTTTAAAAGTGCCAAGCTCAGTAGTAAGAGAAAGGAACCTGGTCATGGATGACCTTCAAGGGAACAATTTTAGGAGTAAGGAGGCAAGTTGAAAATACAGGGACTTGGGGAAGCAAAGGGAGAGGCCTGAGAGCACAGGATGTAGAAACTTTACTATAGACCTTTAGCAATGAAAGAGGGGAGGAAAATAGGAGAGCACTGGGTAAGGATAAGAAGATTAAATAAAAAGTTACTTTCTCTTCTTCTAAGATAGGGGAGAATCATGCTAGTATAGTCAATTGCAGAAAACCACCATTTTGGGGCCTGCAACAATCAATTTCCACATAAAAACAACCTTGGGATTTGAGCTCAAGTTCTGAAATTCAGACTGCCAAATCATTGTGTTCACCAAAGTACTAAGCAGCCAGTTGATGTTACTACTTTACCAAATCACATGGAGTTTTTATGCTCAGCCACTGTAACCTGTGTGTGCTGTCCACTTGATGATAGCCAGCAAATTAGTCACTTCAGATTTGTGAATCTACTTAAAGATTTGAAATTATCATTAATTCAACATAGTTTTCTAATACTTCAAGTAATCCTCCCCAAAGTAATATACCTGATTTTTCTTCTCAATGAGCTTTTCCCTACCTAACTTTTCTTTTAGATCCTAAACATAGCCTTTATACACTTTCTTGAATTTTCTCTCCTTTCCCTCCACATTGAAACTGCTAGTACTATTTCCCCATTCTGTTGTCACAAACTATTATTCCCCTTTTCATCACAATATAATCAGAATTCTCAATAAGAGGAAACTAAATGTAGTAAAATATTGTTCTTATTAAGAAATTAGTAGAAAAAGTTACCATACATCTTCTTGGGAGAATTTCTTACCTTTTTGCCATTTCCTCTTGAGTCTTAGCTATATCTGCCATCATTTCACTTTGTGAGGGCAATTTCTTTAGCCCTAAAGAGAAAAATTTTAAATATAAATATAAATTACCTCAGTAGAAACAATGATCCTATTAACAATTACTGTGCTATGGAGAATTCAAAGAAATATAGGATAATTTTCTATACTCAGAGATTACAGTTTGCTTGATCACTTGATCCTGCCATAACCAAAATATAATAAGTTGAACATACATAATCTCAAAAAACAGAAATCTGAAATGCTCCAAAACCCAGTATTCTTTGAACACTGACAGATACCATAAGTAGAAAATTCTACACATGACCTCATGATAGGTCATGGCCAAAACACAGGCACACTAAAACTATTGTATAAAATACCTTCTGGCTATGTTGTGTAAGGTGCATATGAAAACTAAGTAAATTTCATTTTTAGACTTGGGTTCTATCTCCAAGATAGGTCATTATGTATATGTAGATATTTCAAAATCTGAAAATATATGAAGTTCAAAACCTCTGGTCCTAAGGAATATTCACCTGTATCAATATGCATAGTTTATTCTGCTTTGTCTTTGGAACATATTTACTATACTCAGCCTCCTCCTTAACATAGTCTTTGAGTTGGTAAATTAAATATGGACAAAGGAAATGACAGATGGCCTTAAAATCACATGAAAACATGAGGAACAAGTTCAAAAGGCAAGTCAAGTGTGGTGATGCATGCCTATAATTCCAGCACTTGGAAGGCTGAAATTGGAGGATAACTTGGGTCCAGGAGTTCAATCAGCCTGAGCCATGTAGTAAAACCCCATCTCAAAAAAGGGAGGGGAGTGGAGAAACACCTGTACAAATATCTTAATAACAAAAAGTATTTTATACAAGAGAGAATAAAGGAAGTAAACGTAAACTCTCAATCACATTTTATGCTAAAATATTAGGGAAGATAAGCCTCACGTTGGTTGAAAGGCCTCATGAGGTCTTACTTCGACTGATCTACTTCCCATTTTACTCCCTCTAACTCTTTTATTCAATAAGAGTTTGTGGTGGCGGGGAGGGGGTAAGGCCAAAGGCAACTCATATACCCAATCTTGACAAATAAATTTAAGCACTAAAGTACAGACAGTTCCTGTACTATGATTTAACACCAAGGACATGACTAGACAAAGGCAGAATCACATTTAAGTCTGTATAAACAACTCTAGCTCAAACAATTAGCCTTTTGCCCTCATATATAGCATTATGCCCAGCCAGATATGTAGACACTATGCCTTGTACAAAATTTGAGCCACAATCCTAAAAAATGTTACTCTCTATATAAATTCTGGTATGTAGAATTTCAGAATGGGAATGTATCTTACTCAGTACAATCCGTCTCTCTACAATACAATATCAGGTGGTTATCTCATTCTTCTTTAAAAGTCTCTGGACTTGGAGATCTCACTACCTTCTAAGAAGATGATATAATTGACTGATGTAGTTGCTGGAATGTTATTTTTTGTACTGACCCCCAATCTACTTCTATACAACTTATACCACTGGACCTAGTTCTTTCTTTTGGAACCACATAATTGAATTTTAATAATTGACAGGACTTAAAATGTGAAAAGCACCTGTCATAAGTACTTTAAGTCTTCTTATTATCAGAATAACCTGCATAGGTTCCTTCTGTAAAAGATTTCATGTTCTCTGCCATCTGGTTTCCCTATCCTGATTTGCCCCTCTTGAAACACAGAAGTAAGAAATTCAACACTCAGAGCCTACTGTGTTTTTTTTAATGTGTTTTCCTAATTTAGCTATATGACTTATAAATCAATAAGGAAGCATGGGAATGTTTCCTTTGAAATTAATAACAGGTCTTTTAGGATGCTCAAGAAGTACATTTTGAGAACTGATTTCCAATTACTTCTTACAGGGTACAGCCACAAGTTTTGCATTTATTAGCTAGAAACTTTATGGAGGAGGAGGGGGCGGTGGTCTATTTCTTGGTGGTGAGAGGCAGTCAGTTCATAAACTATTAAATTTGATGGACAGATAAAGATATTTACAACATTCTGTGATGCAGTTCTCTTTGAATTTATTAACTTTCAGTATTACCTTGTTTAGACACATATTGTATCATATTTCTTATCTCCCTCCTTCAAATCTTGCTCCCTACCCTTTTATATTCCTAGTTTACATTAATGGCCACAGCACCTGGGCAGATTCTTTTCTCTCTTCTCCCCAGCATGGATTCTGTCACCAAATCCTTTCAAAGGTTCCTGTGAAGTTTCATCCAAGTTTGTCTCCTCCTATTCATTTAGATTGCCATTTCCTTGGTTTAAAGGCCTCATGCGGTCTTTAAACTGAACTACTTCCCATTTTACTCCCTCTGACATGTATTATAAATTACAAATCTGATTTGAGTTCTCCTCTCCCAGCTAGAATCCTTCAGTGGTTCTCTGTTGCCTACATTAAATACAGACTTATTGTATGGCAGCCAAGTTCTTGATATCACCTCCATAAATACTCCTAGCTTCATTTTCCTTAATTCCTATAACATTATTTCTCAACATTCTCAGTTACTTGCAATACCCAGAACTCAATTACTCTGTCATTTTACCCTAACTTTATATAAATATTGGTGATTTTCCCACTCTTATTCTTCTCAATATTTCTTTTTTCTTTTAGTGTGTGTGTGTATATATATATATATATATATATATATATATATATATATATAGTCATAGGAGCATTGGGTACTTGTTGTCCATTGTTCCCATAATAGCTTCTCTACATTGCTACTAAAACATCTGTTTAGGATGCAGTAAATATCTGTGAAGTGAATGAACACAGTAAATGTCTGTTTACTTGTTTGTCTTCCTTCTATGACTCTTAGTTCCATATATCCCACTCTTCAGTCTATACCCAATGGACTTAAAATCAGCATACTATAATGATACAGCCACATCAATGTTCATAGCAGCTCAGTTCACAATAGCTAAACTGTGGAACCAACCTAGATGCCTTTCAAGAGATGAATGGATAAAAAAAAAACTATGTTACATATACACAATGAAATATTACTCAGCATTAAAAGAGAATAAAGTTATGGCATTTGCAGGTAAATGGATGGAGTTGGAGAATATCATGTTAAGTGAAATAAGCCAATCCCAAAAAACTAAAAGCCAAATGTTCTCTCTGATAAGTGGATGCTGACCTGTAATGGGAGTGGGTGTGTGTGGAAAATGGAGGAACTTTGATTGGGCAAAGGGGAGAGAGGGAAGGGGAGGGGGCATGGGGGTAGGAAAGATGGTGGAATGAGATGAACATCATTCCCCTAGGTACACGTATAACTGCACGTGTGGTGCAACACTACATTGTGTACAACCAGAGAAAGTTGTGCTCCATTGTGTACGGTGAATCGAAATGCATTCTGCTATCATGTATAACTAATTAGAACAAATAAAAAATAAAAAAAAAGAAAAAAATAGAGATTTTCTGTTTGGTCATCTTTGCATCTCCAGCACCTAGGATACATACTAAGAGATCAGTAAATGTTAGCTGAACAGTGTTATTGAAGAACAGTGAGGAATTGAAGTTTATTTTCCAAGGGTCTCAAGACAATGTGGGAACAAAGAGAGCCTAAATTAAACTCTATGGTAATGGGCCTTTCAATCTACTCTCAGAGTAAGGCATGTTGTATTTGTGTAATCCTGACTTTCTGTAATCCTGACTTGCCCCTGAACATTTTTGTATAATGTTACAAGAGAAAAGAGATATGGCCACCATTCAGGCCTTCTGGACCAGTCCAGCCTTTTAACATGACTAGAAATTGGCCAAGGGAATTGATAAGCTGCGCTCTTCAGAAGTTTCTACAACAGAATTTAGAACTTCATTTGCATGAATGCCATACTGTATTCATTTGACCTGGCATTTATGAGATACCTCCTATGTGCTAGGCATTGGTCTAGCCTTGGAATGTAAAGGCACATAAACATGATTATTTTATTTAAAGAGCTTTCAATATACTAATAAAGGAGGGACAACATATGCATAAGTTTATCCTGTGTAAATAGGAATTAAAGGGAAGGCATACCAAGAAAGAATATCAGGTACAAGGGTATCTCCTATATTTGCTGCTTAGTGGGTAAGTCATCTAGTGCTTCTAGAAAATTGGATGTGTGGTAAAGATTAGTGCAAGATGGACCTGAAAAAGCAGATATAACAATCTGTGGCAGAACCTGAATGTTGTCCTATGATGTAATACCTTCTTGTGATACAAAGAATTGATATAACTTGATATGGTTTCCAAGGAAAGGAAGTTGCTGAGTGAGAACCCTTGGGAGAACTGCAAAACAGGCAAAGAACAAAGAAACTTGATTTTATCCATGGTAAGGTTCTGGGTTCAGTGCTCTAGAAAAGGATGGAATATTTTTCTTGACAAGAGGGCAATAATTCCAGAGAACAAAGGAAGAAGGAAAATGAGAGTTGGTAGGGAGAGGACAGATCAAAGAAGAGGACAGGCTGAGTTGGGTAGGCATGAAAGACTGGGAGAAACTAGTTCATCTGAAAGGTTTGAAATTGACACAGTGAAGACAGAATTCAGGGATGAGAAAGACAAGAATTTGGTAAGTAGACCCAGGTAAGCTATAGCTAGAGTAAAAAACTCAGGGTTCATATTGAAAGTTTGGTAAAGTCATAGGGGTTCTTCTGAAGATTCCATCTTTGCAAAAGTTGGAAGAATGTGTGCTAGGCTTCTGCTACCATGAGAAGCTAAGATTTTTTTTTTTTTTTACATTTCCCTTCAGATCACCTACTCTCATATCCATAATGCAGATTCTTCCAAATACTCATGTTCCCAATTCCTCTTAGCAAGTCACTTGGGCCTGGAATAAGAGTCCCAGTTGCTTCAAGTATACTAAGATGCTCTGACCTATTTTAATGAAACTTTCTCTCCTTACATAATTGATCTAATTAAAATATCCATTTAATATGACTAGGATTAAGCCAACCTCATGGGTTACTTATGTTTGATTGGTGGTCCATTGCTCTCAAATAGCACATGACCTACTGCATAGACTGTAAGGAATTAAGAAATGGCAAACATTTGGAAAGATGGTTTTTGCCTATCAACTATGATACCACTGCATTTTTCCCCTCTGCTACCGTGAAAAATCTTCACTGGCAAACAGCTATAATTCCAACAAAAACACTGAATAGTTTCAATTAAACACTGGTATTGACAGAAGATTTTTTTATTATAATTAAAGGATCAAAGAGTTTCTTCTTTAGAAAGAAACTACAAAGTCATATGGTTTCTCTCTATTCTGAGGCTTAACTCTCCTCCATTAACCTCTAATGGAGGTTAGGTTCTAATGGCCATTTAGCCATGTGACATTCTTTTCCTATGATGTTTGAATTCTTTACAATTTCAGAGGCAGCCCAATCCATCTTGAAAGGGCACTGGTTGATAAGAAAGTTTTCATTCACCTAGGCATTAGACCAGAGACCCTGCATCTACTAGAAGAAAAAGTAGGCTGAACTCTCCATCATGTCAGCTCAGGAACTGACTTAACTTAAGCACAAGAAATAGGATCAAGAATCAATAAATGGGAAGGTATTAAACTAAATAGCAAAGGAAACAATCAAGAATTTGAACAAAGAGCCTACAGATTGGTAGAAAATCTTTACCATCTGCACCTCAGAGAGAGCATTAATCTCCAGGATATACAAAGAACTCAAAAAACTTAACACCAAAAAAAAAAAAAACAAAACCCAAATAACCCAATCAATGGGCAAAAAACTGAACAGGCAACTCACAGAAGAAGAAATGCAAATGGTCAAAAATATATGGAAAAATGTTCAGCATCTCTAGCAATTAGAGAAATGCCACTTAAAACTACACTTGAGAGTTCATCTCACTTCAGTCAGAACGGCAGTTATCAAGAATACAAGTAACAATAAAAGTCAGCAAGAATGTGGGGAGAAATGTATATTCACACTGCTGGTGAAAATGCAAACTGGTGCTAACCAATCTGAAAAGCAGTTATGGAGATTCCTCAGAAAACTTGGAATGGAACCACCACTTGACCTAGTCATCCCACTCATAGGTTTATAACCAAAGGACTTAAAATCAGCACACTACAGTGACACAGCCACATCAATATTTATAGCAGCTCAATTCACAATAGCAAAGCTATGGAACCAAACTATGTACCATCAACAGATGAATGAACAAAGAAAGTGTGGCATATGTACACAATGGAATATTATTACTCAGTCATAAAGATGAATCAAATTATGGCATTTGGCATTAAGTGAATGGAACTGGAGAATTTCATGCTAAATGAAATAAACCTGTCCCAAGAAACCGAAGGCTGAAGTACTCTCTGATATGTGGATGCTAACCCATAACAAGAGGGTATAGGGAGGAAAGTATAGAAGTTCACTGGATTAGAAAAAGGGAAATGAAGGACTGAGAATAAGAAAGACAGTAGAATTAAATAGATGTAACTTTCCTATGCTTATATATAAATACACGACTAGTGTAACTCCATAGCATGTTCAACCACAAGAATGGGATCCAAATTGGAATGGGTTGCACTCCATTAATATATAATATGTCAAGATACAGCCTATTGACATGTATATCTAAAAAGAAACAAATTAAAAAAAACTTTATATGGATAAAAAAAAATAAAAGAAAAAAATGTCTTTTTTTTAAATGTTAAGCTGATATTATGCAACCCTCAAAATTTCATTCCTTGGTTCTAGTTTGACTCTTTGCTCTACTAAGTAAGTCTAAATCTTATCCAATGAGTATCCCTTCAAATATTTGAAGAGAACTCTCAGATATTAACTTCTTTAGCCTAAACTTCTCCAGTAACTTTATTTGTATTTCAAATGATATGTTTTCACATTCCTTAAACCATTCTTATCTTTCTCCTTATTCAGTGAATTCCAGTTTCACTTTTACAATGTCTTTAGTTGGTAATCTGACCAGTTTAGAGAACAATTATGATGTTCTGGGATGATGCTAGATTTAAAGAAGCCTTTTGGAACCCTTATCATCTGCTGACTCATATTGAGCCTACTATCCCAAAGCTCAAAGTTTTTTTTTTCCTTATGTACTTCTAGTCAAAACTGAAAGAGGGGACATAAACGGGGGCAGGATGTAAGGATTTGAAAGTCGAATATTCTACATTCTGGATTAATCTACCAAGTGTTAACTTATTGTATGAAATTAAGTCACACCATTTCTATATTTGACATTCTTCATAATGAAAGATGAAATTCTTTTACTTCACAAATATATACCAATTGTCTAAAATTTAGATGAGTGGATTCTAATCTGAAGTACACATTGGAATTAACTGGAGAACAATATTGTCAAAAATCTTGTGCCTGCCCCTCCCACATTTACTGAATAAGTATCACCAGGGATAAGATCAAAGCATGCCTAAGCTGGGAAAATATCCCAGGTGATTCTAAGATATGTCTATGGTTATCAATTACTACGTTAGATTCACTTAAAAATAAGTTTTCTAGTACTAACTTTGTGCTAGATATTATGCAGCTCTCAAGATTTTGGTCAAACATACTGCTTTTTAAAATCAAGCACAGAAACATAACTAAACATCACCAAATAATTAAGGAGTGAATTTTTATTGTCACTTACCTTTAAATACTTGAGTAGCCCAGCGTCCTTGGAGCTCTGCAATCGGCATAATGGCTCCTAAGGGTTGAATCAAGCCTATGATTGCAAGAGTTGGCTTTTCTAGGTTGGGGGGGAAGACTTTTTTATATAGGGATATCTTATTTTTGACCACTTTGATAGAATCTTCAAGAAAAGGAAAGGCAAAGCTATAGCCTGTTGCAAAGATAACAACATCAATGTCATCCTCTCTGGAGCCATCCTCAAATATGGCAGCTGTTTCTGTGAATTCTTTCACATTTCCTTTCACCTTCACCAAGCCAGAAATTATACGGTTAGGCAGATCATCATTTACTGTTGGATGCTGGCTCAGAGCTCTACGTGTGACAATAAAGATGAAGAGAATGAGAAATGAGAGTGACCGAGAGATGGAAAGAAAGGGAAAGAGAGAAATAAATCATGTAAGTAAATTTTTGCTTTGGTGGAGGTGGTTAAACAATACATCAATGGTTTCCCCTCAGTTTACCTGTGAAATTTGGAAAAGTCCCACTTTACACCAGTTTTACTTTATGTCAGCTTTTCAGGACACAAGACTGAAAAGGCTGAACTCTGGAAGTCACTGAAAGGGGAAGGCAATACCTTCCTTCCCCAAAGTGAAGGAACAAGAGTCTTATTTGAGGAGTGCATATGTGGTTTCTCAAGTTATAATAATGCTCTGTGGTATCTTAAGGCCATAGGCCAATAGTTTCTGTTCATATATCAATTAGTCTGACAGAACTTGGCTGTTAATATTGTTTCATTTCTAATTTCAAAGGCCCAAGAGGTAGACTTAGACATTCATTTTCCAAACTGTGTAATAAATTACATATGTACAGCAATTTAGAATTTAAATTACATTTCCATGTATTAACTTCTTTGACAGTCACACAAACTCTATGAAGCTGGTAGGATAGATGTCATTATCCAGGTTGTATGAATGAAGAAACTGAGGTCTAGAGAAATTAAATGACTTGACTGATGTTATGCAGCCTAGGATTTTAGAATTTCTATCAAAATAGTTTTCTATAAACTCTCTTGGAATACTTTGGATATGATAAGTATGGAATAAGGGTATCAAAATAAATAAATCAGGTTTCCAGTATCTTGGGTCTTTAGAAAAAAAGTCTTGATTCAGTTTTTTAAAATAATCTTAATTTTTTAGTTGTAGATGGTCAGTACCTTTATTTATTTAGCTTTATGGGCTGCTGAGGCTCAAACCCAGTGCCCCATGCATGCTAGGCGAGTGCTCTACCACTGAGCTACAGTCCCAGCCTCTTGATTCAGTTTTAAAACAGTCTTAATTCCTGAACTTAAGTCAGCAGGCTCTGAGAACCCTCATCCTATCATCTTCCTGGCCTAGCCTCAGGAATATTATACGTTTTACAACTATACCTGATTTGTTGAATTAAATCTGCTTTGATTCTAACCTTTAGGAAGATTCTGTTCTGCATTCCAACCTCATGATTTCATCTTTCTCTCTAAACCTATTCTTTTTCACTAGTAGTACCACCATCCACATAGTTGCCTAAGCCACAAAACTGTCTCATATCTGCTCACCACGCCTTTGTTCTTTCTCTCTTAATAAAGAAGAATTCCTAGAATAGTTTTGTTTACTCACTGTCTCACCTGAACAATTACAGTTGTCTTTAAGGCTCCCTTCTCATATCCCCTCTATACCATTTGCCTTGGAATAAGAAAGGCAAATAAACAAGATTTTAGGATCCTTTGATTTAGAAAAGAAAAAAATCTATAAAGAATATTATTGGGTCAGGTGCAGTGATACATGCCTGGTCATTGTAAAATAGATTATAGACTTGTTGTTAATATGTCACTCACTTGAATGGATTTGCTGTCTTCATGCCAAACTATTTTTTTTGTTCCCCTGCCTCAGGACTAAGGACCAAACTCAGAGCCTTGTGTGTTCTAGTCAAGCACTGAGCTGAATCCCCAGCCCCTCATACTTTTTATTTAGCAGAGCATACAAAAGGTTTCATGCCTTATACACCTAGAGATGTATTCAACTACTCTTCAAGCTTTGCCATATAAGTCTAGGTATACCAGACTGTGTGCAACTCTCAGGGTATAATGTGCCTTTTGCTATTCTAAGCTATTACAATTAGAATGCTACATGCTGACCCTATTTGCTTGTCTATTATTATTCAATAAAACCTCAATTTGTTTTGCAACTACAAAAGATATTCATGCTTAAATAATTCAATGAAAAGTTGTTAGGGAACACAGTGTCCCAGTATCATCTCATTTAATTAATTTCAAGGGGAAAAATATCTTTATACTGGAGAAACATGGAAGATGCCACTTTTTAAAACGCAATCAAATTTAGCATCATTAATATAGAATAAACTGACATCATGTGGGTCCTGATGGGATTCACTAAGAAGATAATATCACTTATGTAGTATATATGCTAAGATACAATGCAACTAAAAATTTAGAGGTATTCTACAAAAACCATGCCTTGGAAAGAAGAAGGAGAAGGAAAAGAAAGAAGAGTAGGAGGAAGAAGATATAGGGAGAGGAGAGGAGGAAGAAGAGAAGGAGAAGGAGGAGGAAGAGAATAAAAGTCCATATTAAAAAAAAAAAAATGAATGGCCAAGCATGGTGGTGCATGCCTATAAGCCCAGTGACTCTGGAGGCTGAGGCAGGAGGATTACAAGTTGGAAGACAGCTTTAGCAACTTACTGAGACCTGTCTCAAAAAAAAAAAAATTAAAAGAATTGCAGATGTAGCTCAGTAGTAAAGCGCTCCTAGTTTCAATACCTAGTATGAAAAAAAGGAAGGATAGAGAATTATTATTTCAAATTAAAAAAGACATGACAACTAAGTGAAATGGTGTGATTAACATTTTTTAGGATTCTGGATATAGAAGAGAAAAAGAAAAGCTTATTATAAAGAAGATTATTGGGTTGATTGCAGTGATGCATGCCTGTAATCCCAGCAACTTGGGAGGCTGAGTCAGGAGGATTTTAAGTTTTGGCCAGCTTCAGCAATTTAGCAAGGCCCAAAGCAACTTAGTGAGACCCTATCTCAGAATAAAAAATAAATAGGGCTGGGGATATAACTCAGTGGTAAAGTGACTCTCGGGATTCAATCCCCAGTACCAAAAGGAAAAAAAAAAAAAAAAAAGAAAAGAATATTATTGGGACTTCTGTGGAACTCTGAATATGCCAACATTTTAGAAAATGTATTTTTATCAATGTTAAATTTCTGAAATGGAGGAATGCCCTTTTGGGGGGGTATGTCTTAATGATTTTTACTTATTTTCAGAAAAAAATGTGTACTTAAGTATGTATGTACACTACATATTGTTTGGATCTATCTTTCATGAGGGAAGAGAGAAAAAGCAAATATAGCAAACTATTATGATAGGTGAATCTAGGTAAAATATAAGGATGTTCAATGTATTTATTATTGTGCTACTTTTCTGTAGATCTGAACATTTTCAAAAATAAAAAGTTGGACAGGAAAAAAGTCATTTAAAGTCAGTATATAGAAATTCTTTCATAATGTGCCTTTGGCTATATAAGAACTCATTCTTTAGACTCTCATTGCATTCTATTCATTTCTTTGTCATATTCTGTTGTCTGTCTTTTCATTTGTATATTTAAGGTAAGATCCATTTCTGAAGTCTTCCATTTGTTACTCATGTTGCCTTTGGGCAAATTACTTAGTTTCTCTAAGTTTCAATATTTTATATCTGTAAAATAGACATAAAAATGGCACTGACCCATAGGGCCATTTGTGAGGATTAAATGAGATAATATATATGTTCATTGCTGTGCTTCTAATTAAAGTCTTCAAAAAAAGGCAAGATGTGGGGGGCTAGGGTGGTGGCTCAGTGGTAGAGCACTTGCCTAGCATGTGCAAGGCACTGGGTTCGATTCTCAGCATCACATATAAATAAATAAATAAAGGTCCATTGACAACTAAAAAATATTAAAAAAAAAAAGTCTGAGGCCAGCCTTAGAACTTAGAGAGGTCCCATTTGCAACTTAGTAAGACCCTGTCTCAAATTTTTTTTTTTAAAAAGGGCAGGGTGTTATTTTTATTATTATGTCTTTTCTCTCTGTATTTTCATGCCCAATATAATGCCTTGCTCACAACAGGTACCCCATATTTGTTGAATGACTGAATGAGGCATTGCCCTCTATTACATTTTTGTTGTTGGGCACCGTATAAAAAGAACTGATATCTGACAGAATAAGAAAATGACTAATGTCAATGAGAGTGAGACCAGCAGATCTTGATCTTCTGTGGTTGATAGGTAAAAAACATTTTTTAAAATGTTTTCTTAATGTATGGGTAGAGGTAGCTTTATTAGCCTGTGTGAACAGTCCTTATTCTTATGCCTTGGCTGTTACCAAACCCATTCCCATCCTGAGAACATACCTGTGTTTAGGCTTCAGGCCAAACATTTCATGATCAAATCTTTGATTCATACGTTTTTCCAAAAATGTACTTGTTAATGCTTGACCACATATCTTTGATATAAGATGTTTAAGTCGAGAAAAGTGTACCACATCAAAAGGATATCCGTAGTCCCCTACACGATTCAGGATCCAAGCCCCTCTCCTGGTGCTGAGGAATACCTAAGGCATGGGAAATATTGTTCACTTTTGTCATTCTGTCTCACTATCTGAAAGCACTCTCACTTTCTTCAAGATTTAAGTTCATACTTACTAGTGTGGCATTTTAGTTCTGAACAATCTTTTAAAAATTTTCCTTCCCAAACACTGTCAAAGAATATGTCTTGTTGTGATCTACCACTACATTTCTGTTTAAAGCCAATGTGCCTGAAAAGTCCTCCTCTTTTGAATTTTCTTCAGCCCATTCATTTTTAAGGTCCAGATCAAGTCTGCATCCTCCATGAGAATACCATTGACCTTTCAGGCTGATAATTCTCTCTCCCTTCTCTGAACTTCACTAGCATTTACCACCTATAGGACTCATTAAAAATCATACCCCATTTGATTCAAATGTATGATATGTCAAGATCATTGTATTGTCATAAGCAACTATGGGGCTGGGGTTGTGGCTCAGTGGTAGAGCACTTGCCTAGTATGTGTGAGGCACTGGGTTTAATTCTCTGCACCATATACAAATAAAAAATATATTTTTTTAAAAAAAAGTCATGCAATAGACCAGGTGCAGCAGAGCACACACCTTTAATCCCAGTGGCTCTGGAGGCTGAGGCAAGAGGATCATGAGTTCAAAGCTAGCCTCAGCAACTTAGCAAGGTCCTAAGCAACTCAGTGAGACTCTATCTCTAAATAAAATATAAAAAGGTCCTGAGGGTGCTGGGGTTATAGCTCAGCAATAGAACACTTGCCTCACACATGTGAGTCACTGGATTCGATTCTCAGCACCACATAAAAATAAATAAATAAAAAGATATTGTGTCCATCTTTAAAAAAATATTTTTAAAAAAAGGGGTGCTGAGGATGTGGCTCAGTGGCTAAGTGCCCCTGGGTTCAATCCCGAGTACCAAAAAAAAAAAAAAAAAATCATGTAATAATAAAACTGAAAGCAACTGGATATCATTTAATCCAAAATCTCCAGTCTTTTTGTCATTGACATTGTTTGCATTATTAAGAACTATTATTTACCATTTATGTCATTTATATGATGTGAAACTTTCTATGCTCTTAATTTGTCTCTCCAATTGTGTCCAATTGTGTTTTCTTCACAGTGGGAGGGTTAGCCTGCACATCTCTTAGTCTCCTCAGCACATCATCGTTACTTTCATGTAATGAGACTTGTGACCTGTAACTCTGGATACTAAGTTCTTTGTATTCTTTTTTCTTTTTTGAGGTGCTGGGGATGAAACTCAGGGCCAAATGTATGCTCAGCAAAGGCACTACCACTGAGCTACATCCTTAGCCTTCTTTAAAAAATTATTACTTTACTTTGATATAGGGTCTCTCTAAGTTGTTCATGTTGGCCTCAAATTTGCAAAACTCCTGCCTTAGCTTCCTGAGTAGCTGAAATTACAGGCATGAGACACTGACTAATGGGTTTTACAATGGTAACACAACAATCCCTTGAGGAAGCCACTGTTATCCTCATTTTATGGGTGAGGGACATCAAGAAGATGAAAAATTTGCCAGAGAACATATAGCTATTAAGAGACAAACTGAATTTTTAACCCACATCTGACTGACTCTAAATCCTATTAAGAAATGTTCTATTGATTATTGAATGGGGAAAAAATAAAGATTGCTAATAGAACCCAGGAAATTTCTCAGTAATTCTTTGTTCTTTTCTGGCTAAAAATACATGTTCAGAATGGATTAAGGTTGATATTCAATTACCTGGCAGAGGTATCAGGACATTTTCAACATTACACTTTCAACTTTACCCCCTGGAAGAAGTTTCTAGAGTGTTACTGTAGATTAGTATATTGTTTCATAGTCTTTGTCTAAGCTCTCACGTAAAAAGATGCCTGTCTACAAAGGTATAGTTCTTTACTTCACACATATATCCTCACAGAGAGTAATTTTAAGCCCTATCAGATTTAAGTGCTTTTTACATTTCACAGTTGAAAGAGCCTGCATGGTCTTGGGATTCAGATGATTTAGTTTAATGCTTATAGCCTTAATTCAAGGGCTCCCTATTTATAAAATAGTTACAACAACACTTACATCACAAGACTGCTGTGATAATTTTTATAAAAAAAGTGTGGCATACAGTAAACACTGAATAAATGCTTAATGGCTGTCATACTTATGTCAACTTTTCCATCAATACTTTGTTTTAAGCAAACAATATATTTATAAATCTGGTTTATAAGGAAAATTGTTAAATCAGTATAATTGTGTATGAAATTAACCTGATGAGAAAGGGATGCTTTCACAAATCATTATACCACAGGGTTAAACCAAAATTTTGTTATGCACTGAAATTTATAGACCCATTTAAAAATTTTGACTTTACAAACAACTTCTCTTAAATATAAATACATTTTAATATGTAAAGCAAAAAGCTAGAACTCAGCAATTAAATTTCTTCAGTTTGCATTAGTGCTGTGAGGATGTTGCCCCTGCTATGCAGATGTGTTTGCTATGTGTTTTCCCAGGGCTTTCTCACAAATATGGCTACCTTATCTCCACACTCTGAATATTTTGTTCCTGGGAAATTTTAATTCCATAGTGCAGGTTAGGTCCAGCTTCCTTAGAAATGACCACTTGATATGAAAGAAGACTTTTGCATGGATCCCCACTACCTACATTGTACATCATTCTACCACATGTGTTTTTTACTCTTTCTTGTTTATATAATTACTTCCTAATAAATGTTTGTGGAATTAGTTCACAGAATAACATATGAGATCACTTATATATTGATAGATGAAAATAGTATTGAGAAATTATTGGAACCAAGTTGCTACGTAAGGGTCATTTAACAAAATTGTGTCATTAAACTTCTGTTTTAAAAAATAATTTGAAGCATATTTATAAAGAAGTATAGCATAATTAAAGTTACTGAAGAACAACCAAGCATTCACCTATTACTAATAAAGTTATGATTCAATGAAGACAAAAATATAATAATAGCATGCCTTTTCCTAGAAGTTTATAGTGAAGACACTTTCTTCAAAGCTCAAAATCTATGATACAGAAACCAAAACAAACAAAACAAAAAAACCAAGGAGATAGAAGTTGCTTTGAAATGACTGCCATTCTGTGCAAAGGCGGACACAATCTGTTCACATATGCTACTATGCAGACACTCTTTATGCCGATATCCACATTGTTTTGGGAAAGATTAGGTTGCTTCTTTTTTCCCCATTTGGGGGGCAAAAAGGAAATTCACCCACAAATTTTTAATGAAAAGTTTTCAATAACCACAGTGTGCTTTCCACATGTGTATATGAGAACATGGCATTTCTTCTGGCCAATGGACAATTCACACTGTCAATGTTGCATTCTTCCAACCTCTTCCAGCAAATATTTGATCTTCATCAAAGCCAGGAGAGGATAACTGGGATCATGAGTGCAACCTGAAGCAGTGAAGTTATTCCTTAGTATGAAGCCAATTGAGTAATGGAACTCTAACCATTATGGCATCTACCGTAATGCCAACTGAAGCAATGAAACCAAGCCCTATATTTGCCAGTGGCACTAGTGGGCAGTGTGCAGCCATCTATACTCTGTTGGGTCTATCTCCCTGGTGAGACTGAAGATAGAATGAAGCAAAGTAAATCACTGATTCAAACCTGCTTGGCTGTGTGGCTAATCTCTACAGCCAGATCCCCTCCAGAATTCCCGATGCCAATTATAATGACTCTTTTCCCAGCAAATGCCTCTGGGTTTTTATAGTCTCGACTGTGGAAATACTGTCCTCTGAACTTCTCAATTCCTGCAAGAGAACAGAAAATAATTATTGGATGATAGTTTATATAATGGATATCATTTGTAAAATTCTTTTATAGAATTTAAAGTTGAAGCACATATTCTCCACATGTTCTCCCTTTATTCAGCTACTCTTGTCTTTCTAAATACTTTTGCTTATTTTTTTTCTTCCAGAGCCTTGGAATAGTAACTTGTTATCCCTTTATCATAAGTAGTTTGTATTTTGGATTTGTAGACTCATAAATCCAAACTGCCTCAGAAAACTGCCATTCTCTTTTTGTCGTTCATTCCCTTAATTATATACTCCTGTTTTAATTAGAGTATATATGTTTTCATATACTCTAGGATATACATAAAGTGAATTTTTTAAAAAAAGTTTAGGACCAAAATTGAAACTAAACTATTCAAGCTTTCATTTAAGCCTTAGAAATTCAACATTTGTTTGTTTCCTCAATTACTGAAAAATTTTATATCTGAACCAATACTAAGTAAGTGTTCCACAGTCTTCCTTTATGATCCTTAGGAAAACCAAAGTTGGGGGTAGGAAAGATGGTGGAATGAGATGGACATCAGTAACCTACGTACATGTATGACAGCACATATGGTGTGACAGTACATCATGTGCAACCAGAGAAATGAAGAGTTGTGCTGCAAAAGTTGTGCTATACAATGAATCAAAATGCATTCTGCTGTCATGTATACCTAATTAAAATAAATAAATTAATTAAAAATAAAAAGGAAAATCAAAGTTATTGTAAAGCTAAATACAATCATGTGCCACTTGACAGATATACATACATTCTTAAAATTTTACTGTAAGTTGGTTTCATCATTGTTAAAAATCACAGAAGTACCTACATAAGCCTATATTGTATGGGCCAGCCACTCAATATGGCCTCTTGATGCAGTCAAGATCCACAATAATCATGAGACATGTGAGGTTATTGCTGGTGTAACATGGCAGGCAGTTTTACAGTAAACTTTTCTATAAGTAGAAGGACTACACACCAAAACAAATATATAGCACAGTAAATATGTGAACCAGTAACACAGTTGTTTATTATTAAGTATTGTGTACCACATACGTAATTGTATGGGTTATAATTTTATACAACTGACAGCACAGAAGGTTTTGTACATCAGTATCACCATGATGTTATAATGGTTATGATACTATTCAGCAATAGAAAAATTTCAGTCCCCTTATAATCTTATGGGATCGCCATTCTATATGTACTCCAGCCTTAACTGAAATGTCATTAATTGGTGGCATGATTGTTTACAGACCTCTAAACTCTAAAATTACCATTAACTCTAGTCCCCAAATGGCAGTAATACAAGTTATTCCATCTTCAAGGGAACATGCATAATTATGCTCTTATTTCACCCCAAGGTAAAAATCACTCAGACCATAACCCTTCTATTTCTCAGGGTCATAGGCATGGCTCAAATGTCAATCTCCTTCCTAGAAGGTCACTAACCTGAAAAACTTTCCAGAGGTAAGTGAGCATTAGTGTGATGGCCAGTGCAAACCATGACTCCATCAAAGACATTAACCTCCTTTTTTCCTTCACACTCAGTGACCACCTCCCATTGTCCTGAAGTAGAGAAATCAGGCTGCTTCTTCACACTGCACACAGTAGTCTGAAAGAAAAGTGACATACACAGAGCCTGTACAGTGGGTATCTTCCCTGACATGACCTTTCCTGCAAAATGTTACACAAAGGGCTGATACCATAGGCACCATCACATCATTGGGGTCCTTGCAAGAGTATTTGATTTTCATCCTCCATAAAGAACAGTTTTGTTTGGGCCTGTGGTCTGAGTGAGAAAACTATAAGGCAGACAAAGTAAAACAGAGTTGACAGACCAGTGTATTCTCCTCTGCTTCTAGAAAAGTAGAAATTGCTAGGACAATAAGTCTTAAGGCATTGTAGCACCTGAATAAAGCTTGGATTTCTCCTGTACTTCTGTGGCACTCAGCACTAAACACCTATTTCTCCACTAACCCCAGACATCCTTAAACTGTCTGATGTCTTCTTATTCCCAAGTCCTGTTCTCTTTGACTGGGCTTAAACATGTGACTATGAGGCTACCTTTCCTGTTAGAGCAGGAACATATGTCAGTGGCTCTTATTTTTTATAAAGAAATCTCTGTTTGCCTTCTACATATGCCCATTTTACAAGTAACTATAAAGAAACAGGTTGTGAGATAGGGTAGTCAGTAGCATAATTTTTAGCTTTTCCAAAAAAAAAAAAAAAAAAGAGAAACATTTTAAATATGGGTTACTCTGCCCAGCCAAAGGAAACATCAAGAATGTATTCCAATGTGCTTCTAGGGTCTTGGCTATAATGTCTTTGTTGACTAATAGAGACACTGTCTATGCTTTAACCATCCTGTACTATTTATATTTCCTGTCATGTGTTTTTACACAAGCTGGTTCTTCTACTTGGATCACCCTTTTATTCCTTCTTCATTTGGAGGACTCCTTCCTACTGAAGCCTCAGCTTGGACATTGTCTTCTCCAAAAATCTTTCCTGGAACTTGATTCCTCTGCCCTGATGAGTTAAACATCCCTCTTGTGAGCTGCAAATGTATAGCTCTCTATAGCGCTTGTCACTTGGTTTATTACTTATATGTATAATAATAATTTTCTTCATTTTTCTCTGTCCTTAACTTAGACTGTTAAGTTACTTATGGTTTTTTTGTCTTTGCATCATCACTGCTTAGTACAGTAATAAACTTATTCAAAAAGTGTCACTTAAACAAATGAAGAGATGCACCACTGGGCTATAAATAACTGGCTTTGGAAATTGTCACCAAATGTTGCCACTTTATTATTGTTGCTAAACCTAAAAAGGTGGAATGTTTGGACTTTATGCCAGGTGATTTAATATGGCCATGATTATAAATTATGGGAAAATCATGGCAGACTTTAGAAAAGGAAGGAACCAAAAGTTATACAGTACAATCACCTTCTTTTACAGAAAATAAAATTAAGGTAAAATTCAAGTTGAGAAACTTACTTGTCTTAGGTTACTAATTAGTGGTACAACAAGGGCCAGAATTCAGGGGTTTGTTTCCCAGTTCAATGTTCTACACTCTCCACCTGATTCAACTTCTTTGCTTTCTCAATAACTTCCCAGTCACTAAGTACTTTGTGATGATCATATAAAATAATATATTCAAAAGTGCTTCAGAAAGTATAAAATAATTAAGAAATAGTGGACAAGTTTGGGGAACAGAAGGATTCAAAGTTCCCATACTTATTCATTCCCCTCATCTCCTTGATTATAAGCAGGGAATGTGAAATGAAGGCAATGAAAATACTCGGGCAGGTATCTTTCTGTGTCTGCAGCCAAAATATATAAGAGAGAGCTTTCCATGAAAGCTCTTAAGTTTTTGTACTCGAGTATATCGCTCTAATATTTACATTTACATACTGGTTAATGAAGCCACATTCATTTACTTGGTGAACAACTTCAAACACAAAGACACCCACAAAACTGCCTACCTTGAACTGGATATACTTTAAAAGGTTGAAATCTTTGGCATACATCCTGAAATATTCTAGGATCTGGGAATTGTGCATGAAGTTAGGATAATGATCCGGGATGGGGTAGTCACTGAAGCACATCATCTCCTTAGAAGTATTGATGATCACTGATTTGTAAATACTGGCTCTTCCTTCTTCAGGATTTTTCTGCAGTAAATAAGAAGCATTTATGGCAACTTGTGAGTTAATTTCATGATTTACAAATAGCCAATCAACAGTTGAAAAAATTTCCTGAAATAAATGTCAATTCAAACAAATTACACACATACATGACCTCCACTCATCTCCCAGTACTTGTGCCCCTGTGTAGTTCCTTCTCCTTGAATCTCAGTTATGTTTATGACTTGTTTTTGACCAACAGTTGAAATGGCACTGAATGACTTTCAACATTAAGTCATAAGTAGCCTTGCAGCTTCCATCTGGGTCTCTTGAAAGGCTCGCTGTGGTGCAAGCCAGCAGCCATATAAGAAGTTAGTTTTCATTGGTGACCCAAATACCTGACAAGGAGAAAGAATTATTATGGCCCATGGATTCAGAGGTTTTGGCTCCATTGCTTTTGGCTTTAGGCAAGGCAGAACATCATGATGGAAGGGCATGGCAGAGGAAATCTTCTCAGCTATGGCAGCCAGAAATCAGGGTTAAGGGAAGAGGCCCAGGACAAGATATAGTCCCAAAGGGCAACTCTCCTGTCCCCATTATCTGCTTCTGCCAACCATGTTCAACCTGTATACACTATCCACCACTGCCTAGTAGTCCATTCAGGTGCCAATGAATTAATCCATTGATGAGGTCAGAGCCCTCATGAACCAATCACTTTCCAAAAGACCCACCTTTAGACAATGGTGCATTGGATATCAAGACTTGAACACATGAGTGTGTGTGTATGTGTATGTGTGTGTGTGTGTGTGTGTGTGTGTGTGTATATATATATATATATATATATATATATATATATGACAGCGGAATGTATTACACTTCTTATTAAACATATAGAGTACAATTTTTCATATCTCTGGTTGTATACAATTGTGTCTTCCCCTACCTGTATTTTGGAAAATAATGATCATCACATTCCAAAATCATTAATAACTCCATGCCTCCTCCCTTTCCCACCAACCCCTCTGCCCTATATAGAGTTCATGATTCCTCCCATGCTCCCACCCTATCCAACTATGAATCAGCCTCCTTATATATATAAAAAAAAAACACAAAACTTTTGGCATTTGGTTTTTGGGGACTGCCTAAAGTCACTTAGCATTATCTTCTGTAACTTCATCCATTTACCTGCAAAAGCCATGATTTTATTCTCTTATTGCTGAATAATATTCCATTGTGTATATATGCCACATTTTTTTTTATCCGTTCATCTCTTGAAGGGCATCTAGATTGGTTACACAGTTTAGCTATTGTGAATTGTGCTGCTATGAACATTGATGTGTCTGTGTCCCTGCAGTATGCTGTTTTTAAGTCCTTTGAGTATAGACCGAGGAGAGGGATAGCTGGGTCAAATGGTGGTTCCATTCCCAATTTTCCAAGAAATCTCCATACTGTTTTCCATATTGGCTGCACCGATTTGCAGTTCTACCAGCAGTGTATGAGTGTACCTTTTATCCACATCCTTGCCAACACTTATTGTTGTTTGTCTTCATAATGGCTGCCGTTCTTACTGGAGTGAGATGAAATCTTTATTGTGGTTTTGATTTGCATTTCTCTAATTGCTAGTGATGATGAACATTTTTTCATAGATTTGTTGATTGATTGTACATCATCTTCTGAGAAGTGTCTGTTCAGGTCCTTGGCCCATTTATTGATTGAGTTATTTGTGGTTTTTTGTTTTGTTTTTGTTTGATTGGTTTTGTTTTTTTGTTTTGTTTTGGTGTTTAGCTTTTTGAGTTCTTTATATACCCTAGAGATTAGTACTCTATCTGATGTGTGAGGGGTAAAGATTTGCTCCCAAGATGTAGGCTCTCTATTCACCTCACAGATTATTGGATAGGTAGAATTAATATTATCAAAATGACCCTACTTCCAAAAGCACTATACAGATTTAATGCAATTCTGATCAAAAATCCCAATGACATTCCTCAGAGAAATAGAAAAAGCAATCATGAAATTCATCTGGAAAAATAAGAGACCTAGAATAGTTAAAGCAATCTTTAGCAGGAAGAGTGAAGCAGGTAGCATCACTATACCAGACCTTAAACTATACTACAGAGCAATAGTAACAAAAACCGCCTGGTTTTGGCACCAAAACAGACTAGTAGACCAATGGTATAGAATAGAGGACACAGAGACTAACCCACAAAACTACAATTATCTTATATTAGACAAAGGTGCCAAGAACATGCATTGGAGAAACGATAGCCTCTTCAACAAATGGTGCTGGGAAAACTGGAAATCAGAATGCAACAAAATGAAATTAAACCCCTATCTCTCACCATGCACAAAACTCAACTCAAAATCGATCAAGGACTTAGGAATATAATGAGAGACCTTGTGTCTAATAGAAGAAAAAGTAGGCCATAATCTTCATCATGTGGGATTAGGCCCCAACTTCCTTAATGTCTCCTGTGATGCAAGAATTAAAACCAAGAATCAATATATGGGATGGACTCAAACACATGAGCTTTTTGAGGATATTCTAGATCTAAACTATAACAAAGTCCAACTACACTAAAACCACAATACTGTTAGGAAGCCCAACCTAGGCATGTTGAAGAAAATATCTAGAGTAGAGAAATATTCAACTAGAATTTCTAGCTATCCCATCTGAAGTTCTAAACATGTGTAAATCCAGTCTTAGCTGTCATCAGATGGCAATCACATGAGATTTCAAGTGAGAACTTACCAGTTGAAAGGATAAATCTCAAGAATTTTCATTTATATTGAGACATTGCTCTCAAGAAAATGTACTAAGTCTCTTTTCAGTATAAGTTGTTATTTACCCCATTTTTACTATTGGTAAGTAATAGTTATTTAAATGAGTAAAAATTGGGTAAATCAAAACATATTAGGGAGAGTATAAGTTAATTCAATATTTTTTGAGTAATTTTACAATGTATAGAAAAATCCTTGAAATTTACATAGCCTTTTAAAGAAATATTCAGACTTGTAAACAAAGATTTTTGTTGAAGGATGTTAGTGCCAGCATTATTCATAAAATTAAAAGGAAGCAAATTAAATGCTTAAGAAAAAATAACTGAAATTTGTGAACCACTGCTCTAGATCCTTGCTCTGCAAACTACCGTCTGTGGACCAGCACAAAGGGGATCACTAGGGAGATTGTTAGAAATGCATCATTTTAGGCCCTGCTCTAGATTTACTGAATCAGAACTGACATATTATCAAAATCCTCAGTTGATTCAGATGCACATAAAAACAGAGAAGCACTGCTTTAGATGACATTAATCCCTAATTCAGTGTCTTCCTACAACAAACTCTTTGCTTCCTCAAAAATTTCCAATTAATTATTTCATGGGTTGATGTGGTGATCTAATAAAATAATGAATATGAACCTAGCATATTATTCTGTCACAAAATTTCACAAATCACATGTTTTCAAATCTGTTATATTTAAATTCTTTTTGATTATAGAAAATCACCTTCACCAATTCGGACACTCTTCTTTTTTATTACAGAAATGAATAAATAAGAGGAGAGTGGGTATTATGAAATATTAAATGTCCACAAAACAGAGCATTGTATTTGTCCACAATCAGGTTTATTTTCCTCCCAATTCTTATTAAAGAATTATGTAGTCTAGGAATTTGAAATTGATTATACTCATTTGTCTGTCCCATAATCATGTCTTTTTGACTGCTAATAAAGTTTTCATGAGTCTGCTTTCAAGTCTTATCTATCTTACTTATTTCAACAAAGTATACATTCTAGGGTGTGGTTGTGACTATATCTCTGCCCTAATTAATATTTTAGCTGTTCACATTTCCTATAAAGTTCCTATTTCTTGCTTAGAACTCAAAAGCCTCTATAATGTCTACTAGACTTTATCTCCCCTATTGGATTATAATTCCTTTAAATTGTAGTCGTGTTTTTTTTCTAGAGTATCTAGAATTATAAATAGTCCTTAATAAATGTTTAATAAATCTATGTCAAATTGAATTGCAAAAGGTATGTATAGAAAAAGCAATCTTCACATAATACATAACAAATTATGAAATAGATAAAAATTTCATTCAAAACAACGTGAATGAGACATATTTGTGTCATTTCTGAAATTTTCTAAGGAAAATTGTGGAATAATATAAAAGTCAAATTCAAAAAGATACCACTTTTATATTATTTAAATTAATTATTATTTAATTAAGTTTGTGTTAGTTAATAATAACTTAAAATATCCCCCAAATCCATGAGTGGTTTAGTTATATTACAGTATCTCAATATGATGTACAATTTATCTTTGACACTATTCCACAGGTGTTCTGCTAAATACAAAGAACATTCTGTTACTCCACTGCTTATTGGCTTCTAATTCCTTCTGGAAACCAACATATTTATTTTAAAATTTAGTACATTTCACAATCTAGCCCAATATAACTTTTAGTCATCGTTCAGTATTCCCCTTAACAAATCCCATATTCCTAAATCATTAAATTATTAGCTGAAATATTCTAGTAGGCTCTTTCACAACTTTAAACTTTTGTGCATATTACTATTTCTTGAAAAATTCCTATCATTTGAGTCATATCAAATGTTACTTTTCTGATGAAGACTTTCCCGTAGTTCCATTGATCCTCCAAGTCCCCAAACCTTTCAATTCATATTGCTAGAAAAGCAGTGTAAACATACTATATTATTTTGCATTTGTTTCTATGATTTTAAGGGACCTGAGATTAGTATATATGTCTTATTATTCTTTATATTTCTGTCATCAACACAGTACCTGATATATATAGTGAATGATTAATGTATGCTTAGGAATGAATTAGTTATATAATTATGAGAATGAATTTGTAGACACAAAACTATGATGTCATTTCTTCCTAACTTGATATATAGATGCAGTGCAATACATTTTAGACATCAACAAACTGATTCTAATTTTGTGTGGGAAGACAGAAGGCTAAAAATAGCCAACTTTGTCCTTAAGTGTAGGCTGTGCATAGTAATCTTTCTTCAAAGAATATAGTATAGCAAAGCAAGAGAGATAAAAGGGATAAAGTTTACTCTGGAAAAATCTGACAAATTCCACTTTAAGGAACATACCACCATTAACAAAATAATGATAAGGCTTACTGACAAAATGTATCTTTGATATGACATAGTGAGGATGGTACTTTCCATTTTCAGTATTACTTTCAAAAATCTATAACCTCAGTAACCATGAGAAAACAGCAGAAAAATCTCAATTGAAACATAATCTAAATATATGTTCTTATACATTTACTCAAACCCATAGAATGTGCAAAACCAATAGTGAACCTCATGTAAACCATGAGCTGTGAATGATGGATAATCTGTCATTGATTGTAATAAATGTAGCACACTATAGGGGGATGATGATAATGAGGAAAACTGTACACCTATAAAGGTAGAAGCTCAATTTGTATAAACTTAAAACTGCTCTCAAAAAAAGCCTATTAAAGAATTTTTTTTTAAAGCGGGGGGCGGGGGGGAAGAGGGGATATAATGGAGTAAGTTGGAAATGAATGGATTAAAGGAATAGAAGGACAAAACAAGGAGAAAAATGACTCCCTTTCGGTGGGAGGAATGATGACTTCTGTTTCCTTGTCATAGTCTACAAATCCCATGGACAAGAGCACTGTTCGAACTGTAATTCTCAGTTCTGTTATCTGTATATTGAAATCAGAGAACTTTTCAAAAAATACCAGAGCCAGGGTTTTTCTCCTAGAAGTTCTTTTAAGTGCTCCCTGTTAATGTGCAGACAAGTGTGAGGATTGCCAGTAAGAGGTAGTATGCTGGCCCTGGAGAGTTCACAGCACTAGTTTACTCCATCAACTTCAAAAATCCTTTCTGCATATGTTCTTAGCTAAACCGCAAAATGCCTGAGGGCAGTGGGAGGAAGCTATTTCTCTGTATCTCTGCATCCTCTAGAGAGAGTTTCAGGTTCAGAATGTCTGTGTCATAAACTATTACTGATCTTATTTTAAGGATGCAATGTCATCCTCATTTATGATCTGGGCAAGCTGGGGTAGAAGCTGTAAAACCTTGCTCCTTCACATCAATTGTGTATTAGAAATACCAAGCAGAGAGCTTTATTGGGACTCCAGAGCAATACAATCAGAATCTAATGAATGGGCTGATATCATTTTTTGTTAATGTTATCCCAGTGCTTAATTCTTCAGTGTGCAGTGAAAGCTGATAGCTGTTTCCTTTTAAGTGTTTTTTAAATCCATTAATTGTCTTATTCTTTTTTTGAGAGTTATAAAATTTATAGTTTTTTAAAAAAACATTTCATTTAAGGGTGTTTATTAATTTTCTATTTTAAATTAACAGATTAAACAGCAACATTTTACATTACATTGTGTCCACATAGTATCTATTTGTCTATACTTTATAAATTTACTATGTGATGTAGTTATCTGATCAGCAGCATAAATATTACTTAGGGCTTGTTAGAAATGTAGACTCTTGGTATACCCTAAATTAATTCATCAGAATCTCCAGTAATTCATGTGTACATTGAATTTTGAAACACATGATCTAGCATGCTTTCATGATTTTTAATAATGCAGTTTGACCAAAAAGTAGCAAAGATTATTATATAGCATTGAGTACTTATTTAATCCTCAGCATTTTGTAATAAATTTCTTACTTTTTGTTTTAATATGTATTTTTAGTGGTAGGTGGACACAATACCTTTATTTTTATGTGGTACTGAGGATTGAACCCAGTGCTTCACATGTGCCAGGCAAGTCTTTTACCACTGAGACACAGTCCCAGCCCAAATTTATTACTTTTTAATGCTATTGCATTCATAAGTTAACGTAAAATAAACTGATATATATCCCATTAGCACCTACTTTCCAACATAAATCTTATTTAATGTTAATGAAGAGATCAAGAATTAATTGAAATTAATGTCTTGAGAACTTATATGATTATTATTAGAAAGTATTCAGCTATACAAGAAGGAGGCAATACCAGTTTGGCAGGTGGAACATAAAAGGAAAAGAGAGAAGAAAAACAAATGGTGGTATCTGAGAAAACACTTGTTTGGCAGATAGAAAAAAGAAAAAGGAATCATGATAGGTAAGTTTAAATGGTACTGAAAAGAAAATAAAAATATACTGAATCCCAGGAACCTGTCAAAGAAAGGAGAAAATGAAAGCCCTGAATTCCCAGTGTTCTTACTGGACATCTGGCAGTGCAGGTGGAATTCCAAAGTGCTTAAGCCAGTTCCACACGTGAAACCGCTAACAAATTATAAAAAAAGGGTTTTTGTTTTTTGTTTGTTTGTTTGTTTTGGTGTGTGGGAGGATGTGTGGAGAGACAACTAGACTCCAAAAAACAAGCAAGGAAATGATAGGCATGTCTCAGAAAAAATTCTCAAGGTGACCACCAACAGCATGTAAAATATGTTCAGTCCAACATTAAAGGATGTTTATAATACCCTAGTCTCCATAGCTTTGTAACTGTGGAAAATGTGAGAAGGAGGGTCTCAGCTCCATAAACATTCTTAGCAGCCACTCAGGATAGTTTCCTTCTCAGGAATCTATACATTAAACATAAATATATTGGAAAGCTAATATGTGCCAGGCATCATTCTTGGTCTAGAATATAATGGTGAACCATATAGGTATGTCTGTGTTACAAGAAGTTAGAGCATTACAATGAAACAGTTTATTCTTTTCAAGGAAGCAGTTCGTAAGGTGTTGAAATTTTGCCCAGAGGATAATTTTTTTTTAAATCCTCATGCTGTGTTTTTAGCAGGTAATAACTTTAAATCACTTTATAGATAAAAACCTGAAATATGTTAGACAGGATAATGGCTACCCTGCCAACATCATCCCTGCCTCAACTGATTTAAGTCTTGTTCAATAATTGCCAAACCTGGCTAGGATGCCTATGGAGACTCAAAATGTCAGGGGTCCCACTCTAGGCCTGAATAATAACTGACATGTAGCACTGTGCAGAGCTGGCACTTTTATAAGTGATTGACTCAATTATTTATTAACTTATTACCCAGTATAACTGTAGAAAGTGGGTATTACTATTATCCCTTCTTAAAGATTAAAGATTAAAAAACAGTGGGCACAGAGAGGTTTGATGATTTGCCCAAGGCCATACTTCCTGTAAATGAGACAGTCTTTGAATCTAAAACAGTGCTCTTAACCTCTACACTAGGGTGTGACAGGATTCCAAGAGTAGAATTTTCTGTTACTAAAAATGAATTAACAGATTTTTCAGCCCATGTCTGACTGATTCTGATAAAGGCATAGGGATTTGCTAAGAGGGTCCATTTTGGACCTGAATAAGAGTATTGTTAAATATAATTAGTTCCCAAAATGGAGCCAAGATATAATAATTATGTTCAACAAAGAAATATCATGAGGCCACTTTTTTAACTTTTTTTTTTTTTTGGTAGTTGTAGATGGACAGAATTCACTGGTTCAGAAAATGAGTTTAAAAGCAAATACGAATTAGAGATCAATGAGGGTGCATATTAGAACAATTTAACTTTAAAGCTGTATATAAGCAAGAACAAGAAAAATCCAGTTGCAGGTGTCCTCTGCACTCTGCCCTCTTCTGGAAAACAAAGAACTTTGAACTTCTCAATGCAAGAAGCAAACAATACTATCAGATTTTATATTTTATTCAAGGACTAGAATTGTCAGAAATACCTGGGTTTTTTTTAATAGGAAAAATAAGGTTAATGATTGAAGGCAGGAGGGGTGTTCCTAGAAGGAGTTGTTACCAGGTAATTCTAGCTCATTTACCTTTAGACATATCAGAAGCAACAACTCTCCATTTTCTAATCCTTATGTGCTTTCTAATGTGTGTGGTTTTGTTACTCATTCTCCCCTCCTCACCAGACTGTTTCCCTCTTCTGAAAAACAGCAAAACTAATGAAATAAAAATGTTCTCTGTAGATTTCATAGACATTGGAAAAGGAAACAGAGTCATGTGTGATGAATTTTGCAGCCAACAGAGGGAAGAGAAACCTTCATAAAAGATGGGGTGGGAGGATGTTAAGTCAACAGGCAGAATCAGGTTGGTCACTATTGAGCTCTCATATTACCTGACATGAGATAAAATATTGCATGCACCCAGTTGCAGGGAGGTACTCAAATATTAAGGGACAAGGAGACTTACCTGATACCTCCAGAGCCCTCCAATGTCATCAGTCCTTTCAAAGCAAACAGGTTCCAAGTCTTCATCCAGGCAACACTTGATAGAACAGAGCCCACAGACTCCAGCCCCAATCACACAGATTCTTTTCTTGATCATGGTCTTCAGAGATCTCCACCTTGCTTGGGCAATGCCACTTGTCCTAAAGAAAGAACAAGAGACAGAAAGCACAAATCTGTCAACAGTTCTTAAGAAAGACAGCTGCCATGACACTAAAAAAAGAAAAAAGAAAAATGCTGTTAACAAGAAGTGATTTGGGGGAAGCCAGATTTGGTTGCCCTCTTTAGAAGGAATCTCCTGCACAGGATGGGGCAGCCCTGTGTCTACAAGAACCAGAGCTGAGAAGTCCTCAGTGTCATCTTACTCTCTTTCCAGAAGCACCTGACTGATCCTTCAGCTGTGATCTGGAACTTCCTCGTTCTGCTGTTAGGAAAGAAATATAAACTAGGAAAGTACAAACAGCAGCAATGGGCTGGTGCTGTTTGGCCCCACCTCCTTTCAGACAACACCTCAACCCACTCCTGGGCACCAATTCTCTCTCTCTTAATTGGAAGAAAACAGGGTTTGAATCTGCTTTGGGCAGGAAAAAAATCATCTACAACTTCTGTATTTTTCAGCTGCTATTGTTGGCAGTGCCTTTTTACTCCCTCTGGAGACAGAATAGTCTTCTAATCTCCTTTGCTTCCCTATGGGCTGCAACAACTTTTTAACTTCCTGCTTTTCCCTTAAAGTAATAAACTCCTACTACTGAAGTGAAACTATCAATAACTCCTAGTCAAGCTTGATACAAATACGTAAGTGCAGAACACCTACATTTCAGGGGATCCATTCAAACAGGTGATTCTACCCCCTTCTCTGTGTCCTCCCCACCTCATATACTTGATCCTCAGATCTACACTATTGGGAGAAATTTACTTTAAAATTCCCATGCATGTTTTAAACTGCTTTTAGCTGAACTATAGCAGGCTTCATTTCAACACTTTTAAATATAGTCAAAAATAGATCTTTGACTCAGACAATCATTTTACTCCATCAGGAAGATGCCTGTCCAATATGTGGTCTGAATTATATTAAAATATAGTTAGCACAGAATGGGGAACACATGGTCTCCATATCACCTAATGGGAGAATGAAAGAAAAGAGTATCAAAGGTGGAGTCATATGTGAGTATATATTTGTATGTGTATGTGTATATAAACACACACACACACACACACACACACACACACACACACACACACCCCAAGTAATAAAAATGAATGTTTTCACTTGGGGGAGGGGGTGCACCAGGGATTGAACCCAGGGGTACTTAACCATTGAGCCATGTTATTTTTATTTTGAGATAGGGCCTAAGTTTCTTAAGGCCTCACTAAGTTGCTGAAGCTGGCTATGAACCTGTGATCTTACTGCTTCAACATCTTGAGCCACTGGGATTATAGGTGAACACCACAGCACCAGGCAGAATGTTTTTACTTTTTTTAATATTTATTTTTTTTTAGTTTTCGCGGACACAACATCTTTGTTTTATATGTGGTGCTGAGGATCCAACCGGGCTGCATGCATGCCAGGCGAGCGTGCTACCGCTTGAGCCACATCCCCAGCCCCTGTTTTTACTTTTTGATGTGCTTCTGTCAAAACAATTATTCATCAAAATATTCCTTATCTTTCAATGGATACATAAAGATGACTTAGTCGAATAGTTTTTATTTTAAAGACCTGCTATTGGGGCTGGGATTGTGGCTCAGGAGTGGAGTACTCAGCATGGGCGGGACCTGGGTTCAATCCTCAGCACCACATAAAAAATTAAAGGCATTGTGTTAAAAATATTTTTTTTAAAAAAGACCTGCTATTTAATTTTGCTCTGGATTCTCTTCTCACTTTGCTCCTGCAATATTTCACTAAAACCTTTATTTACTAGTATCTGTCCTGACAGATAATCATCAAAAAGAATGCTTTTTGTCACCAAGTAACTTTCCTTTTGTCTAATGCTACTTTCTCCTAGAAGAGAAAGTAATGTTCTTTTTTTCAGTACCTAAATGTATCTCCTTTCAGGTTTCAGAATTAGTTTCCTATTCCATCCCTCCCAAGACCTATGGTAACAGAAGGGCCCCTTGGTAGTTGATGCTTAAGCACAGGACATCTTATATACAACCATCCAGTTTCTATTAAACCATGGTTTACTGGGTGTTGGAGAAGGCAGACTGGTGTTCTTTCAGTTAATGAATCACTGAACCACAAGGAGCTACGTCTGACTCTGAGAGAGACAATTGCTAGTCAAGCAGACCTACAATTCAAGTTGAGTGCAGTAGCTGGATGGGTTTGGGTTTGGTGTTGTCTTCCTTGGAGTGGGAATGAGCATATCAAGAGAAGAATTAACATAGAATTATAGTGGCTAGATGAGTAGCAGAAACTACTAGATACTCATTAAAATGTTTTCCCCTCCTCTTACAATATCATATATTCCTTTGGAATGGGGCTGCCTAAAGGGGAACTATATTTTCCTGGTTCTCCTTGAAGCTATGTGTAAATTTATGATTAAGTTCTCACCAAGGAATATAAGAAGAGCAAATGAGAGCAACTACTAACTAAACGTTTTTTAAAAAATGGCTTGATCTAGTCTTGTACTCCTTCTCCTTTTTTGTAGTTTGGAATGTAAATAACCAGGTAGACTTCTGGAAGCCAGGAATTGAAGTTGGTAGGTTTGGAATAGTCAGGGACCTCCATCCATGGAAAACAAGATGCTCTAGGACTAAGGGATAAACACCTTAGTGAAATAAGACAACCCAGGCAACTCTCAGTCTTATGGGGTTAACAGTTGTTCTAAAAAATTAGTAGTTAAAATCACACCAGTCTTCAAGACTATGGGAGTGAATAACATACCAGGAGACAGGCCTCCTGAGACTATGCAGTCAGCATATAGGCCAACTCAGGCCAGACAAACTAGGTCTGCACTATTCTGAAAATATTAATAGCAGACAAAAAACATGAAAAAATGTTCAATATCTCTAGCAATTACAGAAATGCCAATTAAAACTACAATGAGTTCATCTCACTCTAATCAGAATAGTAATTATCAAGAATATAAATAATAGTAAATATTGGCGATATTTACCACTCTGTAAAGCAGTATGGAGATTCCTAAGAAAACCTGGAAGGGAATCACCATTTGACCCAGTTATCCAACTCTTCAGCTTATATTCAAAGGACTTAAAATTGGCACACTACAGTGCTGCAGCCACATCAATGTATATAGCAGTTCAATTGAGAATAGCTAAGCTATAGTCTAACTAGGTGCCCTTCAACAGATGAATGTATAAAGAAGCTATGGTATATATACACAATGGAATATTACTCAGCCATAAAAAATGAAATTGTGGCATTTGCTGGTAAATTAATGGAACTGGAAACTATCATGCTAAGTGAAATAAGCCAATCCCCCCAAATCAAAGGCTGAATGTTCTCTCTGATATGCAGATGCTAATACACAATAAGGCAGGGAGAGGGAAGAATAGAAGTATTTTTCATTAGAAAAAGGGAAATGAAGGGAAGGGAGAGGATGAGAATAGGAAAGATAGTAAAATGAATTGGACATAACTTTCCTGTGTTCATATATGAATATACAAGCAATTTAACTCCACATCATGAACAACCACAAGAATGGGGAGGTATACTCCATGTATGTATAATATGCCAAAGTACATTCTACTGTCATGTATATCTGAAAAGAACAAATTAAAACAATTAAAAAGAAAGAAACTATTAATAGCAGAGACTTTCCCAGATAGTAAGTGCAACTCTAGGTGTTGAGGGACAAACAGATGTGCAGAATAGTCATTGAATTGACCAACAGTTACCTTTACCTTATTTGCTTAGTAAAATGTATACACCCCAGAAGAAAAACTAAGGTGGAGACATAAACTGGAAATGAGATATGAGATATAACACACATGGCATGATGAAGGAGACAAAGGCCCAACTGAAGTTCCACCTCTATAGATGATGACATTAAGAGACACACATATATCGATACACATACAGAAGCATTTTGAAAATGATATGAATTAATACTTACATGAAAGTTATAAAAAAAGGTGGTTTTATTTAGTGTTCACAACAGTGTTATAGGATAGCTTCCATTGTCCTCACTGTGAATTACTATGCATTATGGGCCTTTCAGATGCACTCAGATTGTTTAAGCCTTCTGATGTTGAGGATTATTTTACATGCCTTGTTTTATTTTTTTTTTTTGGTGCTGGGGATAGAACCTAGGGCCTTGTGTGTCCAAGGAAATCATTCTACCGAACTGAGCTATATTCCCAGCCCCTTACGTGCCATTTTTGAGCATTTTGGGGTATCAAAATGGGGAACTTCCTTGGCCTAATGTTACACCTGTACCTCAGAAATACAAATATATATGTTCAACAGATATGTTCATTTTTCAAATGTAAGACCCAGGCTTTGTGAAGTTAGGGTATAAGATAAGCTTTGGGTTCTTTCCAACTAGAGGAAGAGGAAGGTCACAGAGAGTTCTTAGGAATTCAGTGTGGACTGAATCATGGGGAACATTTTGGCTTCATATAATTTTATTATTGATAACTTGCTCCTTATGTAAAAATTTGTCAGAAAAGTTAAATTCCAGCACTAGTAAACTCAAAAGTTACAGGGACTATCTAGGTGGATTGCATAAAAGTTTTCCTGCTGGACAGAGAAGAAAATGAGTGAAATTGCTTGTGACTACTTTAAAAAGTATTCAATTATAAAGGAAAAATAAAAGCTGGGCATGATGGCACATGCTTGTTATCATAGCTACTCAGGAGGCTCATGCAGGAGGATCACAAGTTCCAGGCCAGCCTTGCCAATTTAGCTGGACTACCCACCCACTCACCCAAATAAAATAAAATAAAAAGGGATGGAGGTGTAGCTCAGTAGGAAAGTGCTTATGTAACATGACCAAGACCTTGAATTCAGTCCCAGTACTGCAAACAAACAAAAAAGAAAAACAGAAACTGCTCTTTCAAACAAAAGACACACAGGCAAATTTCAGTGCAGAGCTGTCTACCATCTCTGACATGCGTCCTCAAAAATTTACTTGATAATATCTTAGTGTGTTCCCT